AGTATAAACTGCTGCAAAAAATACAGGTGCGTTTTTAAAATGTGTGTTGTGTGGGAGGGCCGCCATCATGTTGGTAATATAACTTAAGCCTTGTGACAATCGATACATTTGATGAATCATTTCGAAGGAAATCTCCATGAATTTCTTCGTTCAAAGAAATATGGTCCTATGACCTAATCCCCAATTATGACCCCCANGGGGTATTTTAAAAATCGCTCCTAAGTCTCAACATACAAGCAACATACTCATCTGACTACCGTAAATATGCTATATCATGTTGTTCTTTCATGTTTTTAATGTTAATCTTTATGTTGCTCTACTTTTTATCTTAAATTATATTTTATACTCATCCGATCTGAAATTACTTTTGCTGTGCGTAAGCATATGTAACAAACTTCTCATGACTTGCTACAAACATGTAAAGTGTAATGTTGTTTAATAAACTTCTATTCTATTCTATTCTATTGTATTCTAAGCCTTCTTTGGTTTTTGAGCCGTCTGTATATATGCCTATTGCATTTGTAGCATCTCACTCTGTGTTCTGCTTAATTTATATTTTGTAGGGTTAATTAAACACAAAGCTGGGTTCAATTTCATCACTGGTTGCCTGCATCAGAGGTTGCGCAGTAAGCACTTTCCGCCATAGGCCCAGCCTCAATTAGCCCATTCCTACTTCGAGGTAGGACACATTGTAAATTTGATTTAAGACTAGTAAATAAACCAATATTACGAAATTAATTCAAGACATTTAAGACGCATGTACCTAGAAGAGATATATTATCTATATAAATAAAGATAACTTTGTGAGTATGATCAGTTTGATTTTTCTCTTGAAGGTGATCACTTGGTGATCGAAACACGTGTGAATTAACGGTTTGGTGTTGGAAAAAACTCCAGTAATATTTATAGAGCAATGAAATGAAAAACGATAAGGATTGATTATGAAGTTCTCATCTAATAAGGCGGTATGTTGGAAAAGGATATACAAATACAATAAATAATGTATATGAAATGAGAGGGAATATGTGCATCATGAATGAAACATAATGAACTGATGAGTGTTAATTTTAGGAAAAAATAATGAATGCAAAGAAAAACAAATAGTTTAATNAATCGATCTTGTGGCGAAGACATCACTTTCCCTTCAACTACTGTGATGAAGTAAATTTGATGTACGATTTCTAATGATGAATCAATTTTTCCATTTTGATAGAACATTAATTTAACCATCTTCGAATCTCTCATAGTTTCCAAGATCCCAATGGTGAGGATCGAATTTGAAACATCCTGAATAGTTTCTAACACAAAAAATATAAACATGGAGTTGAGAAGCTGAAACGAGGGTACACCACGAGAAATTTGTATTATGGCGAAGAAATTGTTGTTTCCCAACATTCATTATTTGTTAACAAAATCAAAATTGGTTGAAGCTGAAAATAGTTTTATGCCACCCTTCTTTATATTACCGTTTGAACCCATAAACTCCGTGATTAAAGTTCTTGGGATCGAATCCTACGTGTATAACTACCAATTTTGAGCATTTATATTACTCTTCGGAAAATTCCTCACAAATGAATCTCATTTTGAAATATTCCTGATATCGGTCATAGAAAAAGTATAGTATTTTACTCGCAAGAAATGGCATTACACGCGACGCTGTAGCAGATCGAACAAAATTCCCCAGAGGACATTACAGCCATTTTGGTCATAATATAACGAAAAGTGTTAGGTAAGTCGGAAAAATTCTTGCTCCCTGGGAGCTATTTTGGCGTGCGCTGACTATACCGTTGGAGTTACATGCAGATAATGTACCGTAAGATTGTTTATCTCAAATAGTTCTAAATAAAAGTCCGCGATATCATATATCTACCTATATACCTATGTGGTAGCCACTATATGCAAAATACTGAGCCATAAATACAGTTAAATTGGATACTTTTTTGCAATACACATTTTAGAATATCTGTCAAATTCTTACATAAATTGATACAATTGTCGTTTTAAGTATTTGATATACTTATATTATGTATATTACGCGTCGTGTCTACTGTAAGAAGACGGTGGACGATACGCGGGAGTAAAGGGGCGAACTGAGCAATGAAGCGCCATAGCCGAGAATGCGACCCTAATGCGGGCAGTTGCGTGAAGGGCAGACGTCGTTGACGATTGTGTTAGTTTTGCGAAGCTACTGAACCTAGACTCTTGAAATATGCAGGTAAGTTCTTTGTATAGCGTAAATAAATTTTCAAAAAAGTTATTTTTATCTTGGACCTAAATTATTCAATAGCCTGTATGTGTAAACAAAAGAGTCGCTTTATATTTCGAATTTCAAGACGCTATTGAAAACCTATCTCATTCAAAAAAACTGCTACATCATCGAGGATTTCTTTAATCAATAGTTCTTCATTCTAATGTGTTATTTAATCTTCAAGTGCTGTTTCACCTTCTGTATTATATGTTAGATAATTAGTCATGTTCGTTATTGTATTATATTATGGTACACACTGAATGGTCATCTTCATTGTTGCTGTATACTATTTTGTAAAATAAATTCTATACTGTTTAACAAAAGAAACAAATATTGTAACTATTATGTCCATACATAAGTAATTACTTCAATCTGATGTAGCTCTGTAGTTTTCAAATAAGATTCACATGCAAGAATTTTCGTCACTTTAGTAACCATTTTCGTGACCACCATGTACGCCTTCACTTCTTCAATCTAATTCTGTTCGCACAAATCACTGTTACTAACATCAATAGTTCTTCCTATATTTGAATTGGAGGGGTTATATTTTTAGGAGTGAATAATTTTTGGGAAAGAAAGTTTTTGGCTTTCTACTACTCCATCTTGATACAAAAAAAAGGGATGAGGGAATCGTCCAAAGAAAGGAAGGAAGTAATCAATTTGAAAATAAGTAACTCTATACATGGATGTGTGAATCATGCAAAGAAGAACCTTTCAGACACAAACTGACCGGCCTCAACATGCTATCAATTGCACACAAAAATACATTCTCCCACAAAATTTCATCAAGATCTCCTATTAATGGTCGAATAATCTAACAGCTAATATCTAACGTTGGATTTGGTGTGTGACAAGAAGTGGTATCCAATAAATTGGTATCATCACTTATTGCATTTACAGTTGCTTTTTTATAATTTCCAAACCGGCGAAAATGTTTCTTCGTTTTATTAATTGTTCCTTTGGATATAGGCGGCGTAAATTTTTATTAAATAAACAAGCAACATCCAGCTCATTAACAAGTTTACCAACGAAGAGGTCACAACGCATTACTGCCAACCACTGCTGAAGATGCCCATCACAGTTATGGTCAAAACGTTCGGATCAAATATTTCCATTGGACCACGATTACCCAGCCCGGATAACCACAGTTCAAAATATCCATTTGGGTCTGGGTTTAATTTCCATAACCTTTCATCTGTATACTTTTCATTTCGTGTATTTCTGTTGAATTAGTTTTCTAATAAGTAGTCATTGAAATTCAAAACTATAACACTGCTTTGGCTTTGATGAAGACCTACCTATCAAATCGAATCCAACAAGTGAAAATTGTAAATGAAATGAGTGGCGAACTGACTGTACAAATTGGTATACCGCAAGGGACAGTTTTGGTACCGATACTTTTTCTCATTCACATAACAGTATAATATTCTATGCCGATGATACTGCTCTAATTTACACGCGAACATCTTGGCATGAAATAAGAGAGACAGTAGAAACAAATTTACAAAAAATATACATGTGATTAAATGTTAACAAGACAAAGTATCTGACCTTTTCCCCCTCCCTTCGTGATCAAAACAAAAACTACAAAATAAAAATGCATATATTGCACTGTGATAATCAAAATACTTGCGACTGTCAGACCAGAGAACAAATCACATCTATAAAATACCTTGGAGTTATATTAGGGGTGCAACATTCAAAAATGCTATTAGCCCGTTACAAACCACTCAAAACATTCTATTAAAAATTGTCTTTAAAAAAAATATACTTGTTTCAACAAGTGAGTTATATCAAGAAACCAACATGTTAAATAGTCATTCACTATACATTTATCATTGCCTAATAAGAATGTTCCATAAACAAGCAGAAACATACAAGAGATAATCGATCAAAAATGAACCAGGACGTAAAAATTGAATTCTTTAATAAAATGGTCACCCAGATTTTTTTTTTCTTTTAAAATAAATTATACATAAAATATGTCTGGAATGTTCTTAAAAATATATAACTGAATGATAAACAGGGTACTGCAGTTGCAAATTGGCCACTTATACATGACACATGAAAAGTTATTGTTGAAAAGTGTGCAACTAAAAATATCTGAGTTTTTTTTTATCACACCACCATTTATTAATTTTCAAATCCATTACTTCTGGTTGATATACACTGTATATTGAATACTATAGATTATTCATTTCATGCTTTAACTGGTTCGAAAACTAATGCTGAGCAAGCTAATTTTGATAAGAGATATCGGACTCTTCATTTGTGACCTTGGTAAAAGAGATCTCAAATATTCCATCTTTGTTGAAAAATTACCAAAAAGTAGATAATATTCAAATATATTCTTATTTTAATAAATGTGCAACTTTAATTTTCTTTACCAATTCACAGTGAAATGATTTTGTAGAATGTATTATACTCAAAATATTACTTAATATTTCTCGGATGTGATCAAGAATTTTAATGAAGCTTATTGCAAAAATTGGAATTCAAAAAACTTATTGTTCTGCTTTGCTTCCTCCATCACATCACAAATTATCACTTATGTATACAGAGTATTCAAATTTCGATCTTACCAAAAACATTCATTAAATCCCAGTTTCAACAAATATAAACTTGAAGTACACTCCTTTATGCAAGTTGTGTTTCGAAAAGAAATTTCATCAGGTCTTTACTGGTAAGAGGAATTTTCACATTGTTGTTGACTTCCCCATTTCTTTTTGGGTAGGAAAAAAGAATCACAAAATTTTTACCTAAATATTTAATTTCCCAACTCACTTCCAAAAAAAATAGATTATCAGTCAGATTGAAAACCCCATACTTTCAAACTACCTGCATCCCTTTTTCTGTCATAGTTGTCTTTATCGTCACAAGCATACGCTAAAAGATAAAGAGATGGGTGCCAAGCAACAGTAAAAGTGGCTGCTTCCACTGTGATATCCGATATTTTGTCACCTGTTTCAACAAAGCCTATGTCGATGATAAGATCTTCTGAAGCTGAGGCTAACAATTGCCCATCATGGCTGAATGATATTGTTCGCACAGGCCAGTCCATCCTAAAAATTATAACTTGATATAAAAAGTAGAAAAATTAACTAATAGTTCTATATGTCTTGTTTTTCAAAGGTTCATTTATAGTTTTATGAAATCGTATTAGCAGATATTCGGTGTGTGCACAAACATATTTCTTGTATATAATAAAATAAAACTGTTTTTAAGGATGTTACTGATACAAACTGATAATTCCCAATAGATGAAATGATTATAATGTATTTTTAGTATAACTTGCTCACAATAAAAAAATGTTTCAGAGGCCTGAAGGGGACAACTGACAGTAACACTGGATTCAACCATAAATCAATCAACCATTCATTTATTTGATGAAAACCCCTATTTTAGACTTTGACAATTGATGGACTGTGAAATCTCACATTAACAATTACATCAATTGCAATCTGCATTTAATAATTTTTTTATATGTTTAATGAACATATCAATGTATTCAACTGAAAATATATATAAAATATGTAAACAACATAAGTATGTGAAGGAAACACACTTGGTAAACTTTTGTTTGACCAAAAATGCTAAACAGAAGTATAATTTGTCATTGGTTTGTAATGATTAAATAAAGTTTTGTTGAATTTTTTTCATACATCCATTTTTGTGATAAACAGCCAATCTTACAGAGTTCATTTTTTTGTGTTGTTTCGAATTTCCCAAATTTAAATGAAATGATATGCAATGATGTTTTTTAGAAAAAGCTTTTTGGCTTTCTACTTGTCCATCACAAAAAATGTGGGATACTTCCAAAGAAAGGAAAAAAGATTAAATAAAAACTCTCCATAAATATATTACATATTCACAGAAGTTTCTGACAGATACAAACTGGAAGAAAACACAATTTTGAAACAAGTACTTCCACATGAACATTGAATTAGAAGGGGGAGAAAAAATCTTTTTGAAACAATTACTATCGTATGAACATTGAAATACATGAAAATCACTTTGTATGAAATTCATTCATTCATTCATTATGGAATTGAATCAGAAAAAAATTATAGAAATGCTACACAATGTGATATATGAACGAGTATTGACATAAAATGTCACTTACATGGAACACTATCACCCTCTAAATTGAAAGAAGTATATTTTCAGGAGAGATTAATTTTTGGCAAAGAAAGGTTTTGGCTTTCTACTTCTTTGGAAGATTCCCACATCATTTTTGTATGAAGATGAAGAAGTAGAAGGACAAAACTTTTTTTTCCAAAAAAACTATCACTCTCTATGGTGTTTCAGGACAAGACAGTTGTCTTATCAGTTTTAGATAACATCACAAGACAAATCACTCATTTTCTTCATAACATTATGACTTTCTGTCACTGAAAGAGACAAATCTGCTCTTGTCAAGATCACAGTATATATACACTAGGAATCACACGGTAACAGGTAAGACTTCGTTAGTCCTTAGCTCGCACAAGTTTCGACTTTTGAGAGTTGTCGTTAATAGAGGCGTGATAGCGTGTTAACAGGAAAACAGACAGATTTTTCATGCAATTAGTTGATCCCAGCCAAAGTAATTTCGTAGCTGGGATAACAATAACAAAACAAAAAATGGGTTTTTTTATACCAATAGTTACAAAAAAAGTATTCCAAAATTCAGTTTTCTTCTGATCTAAAAGCACATAACAAACTTCAATGACATAAAGGCTTCAGTAAATCTCAATATACTCAAGAACGAATTGAAGAAGCTCTTCATGAAGGCTTCAATAAATCTCAATACATTTTAGAACGAATTGAAAAAAATCTTGCTTGAAGAGTGGAATCCCTTGCTGATGTGAGGAATATTTATCAATATTAAAATTGCAATATTTGTGAAAATCCTTGATGTTTTTTGATTTCCTTGTGATGATCAACAATTATTATAAGATGGTTAGCCACAGTTATCTGCTCTTCAATAATTTAGTTGATGATATTGTAGGGACTTCACTGTTTTTCATTATTCAGTTGATTTATAACTTGGCAAATACTTTTTTCTACTGGTTACTGGTCATAGGTTTTCATGTGGGTTTTGTCAGTGTCTTTGTCAATGTTCTTTCCATAATAATAACTACCCCAATCAATATACCATCAATTAGAAAAAGTAACACATCAAAATTTTGTGAGAGATCAGAAACTCATTTTCTTTATCATGCATTATATTTTTTTCAGTCCAAGACTTACCTTGTAAAAACTCTTTGACATGCAAGTTCATTAATATCCCAAAGAGATACCAGGGCATCTGCACTTCCTGTTGCAAAGTATTTCCCAGTAGGATCAAACTCTATACAAATGCATGTTCCTGGATGAGCCTTTAATATATGTTGGCGTTTCAAATCTGGATAACTACAATATGGATTTATGGAGAATTGTTTTTATTTAAGGGTTAAGATACCAACCTCAAAATATGAATGCATCCTTGACCATTAGTCAAAAAAAATAAGTCGCTGGTATTGTTCCATGATATTTCATTGACCTCAAAATGAAATTGTTCTTCAGCTTCAATCTTATGTGTTCTTGCATCTATGAAAGAAACCAAATCTTCTTTATTTCCAACAGCAATAGCTTGACCATTAGGAGACCAAGTTATATTTATGTTTTCCCCTTTAGTGTTTATTGTGGCAACACATTTTTGAACTCTAGTATCCCATATTCTAACAGATTTGTCACCACTAGCTGTGCTGAGGAGATCAGGATGTGTTTGGTGCCAACATAGCTGGTCCACTGAACCACCATGTCCTTTAAAAGTGTGTTCTTTGTTCTATAATTGAAGTGAATTAAAAATTATATGGTGGAACTAGAACTTTTGATCTTAAATGAATCTAATGAAATTACATCAACATTATATCCTGACGACAACTTGGTTGATACAATGTTCGTCCAGAATAGTGTTTTCAAAGTTCTGAAGTGTAAAAAAGTGATTTCACTAGATGCAAAAAATGCAACACTTCTCAACATATTCTTACCAGTCTGTCTCTGTCTAATGTATAAACACACACAGATTTATCAAATGAACCTGATGCCAATCGTTTTCCATCACAACTCCACCCCACTGAGTGTACTTTGGATGAATGCCCTACATATTCTTTAGATTTGCTGTGAGTTTTGAAGTAATTTTGGAGTTCTTCTATTTTTTCTTGATACCTTTTCATCTTTGAATTTTGAAATATATCATTGGAAGATATGTACAGAAAATTAAATAATCATTAGTCCTTGTTACACCACCAGTCCAGCGGAGGCCTAATCTGGTCTCTAAGCTAATAGCAGTATTGCAAAGATCCAATAATATTATCACAGCATTCAATAACACTTCCTAAGATCCTAAGAAACAGAGTTTTCAACGACGATCGTCTCTTTGGAAATTTATCACAACAAACATACAAATGCAAACAAGTTTGTTAGGTTAGGTTAAAATTACTTCACAGAATAAGAAATAATCAGAAGGTCACTCGAACACGGTACCTGCCAACACAAAGGTGAAGCTTTATAACTCCTATTTAATTATATGCGAGTGCTTTCGACAGCTGTAAATTCAATCCAGGAGCGAGTCTACAGAGGAGATGGATATCGAGTTTACGACTCCAACTAACCTCCCTGTAAATTTAGTTCAGGAGCGAGTCTACAGTCGCGTTTACGACTCCAACGGACCTCTTTGGCAAACGTTTGCGCTCAAGTGAGGTTTCACCAAAACTAGAGGCGAAAAAGCCGTGCACGGCTGAACCTAAGGCATCGTCAGGTGTAGCTGAGGTGCAAAAACCCTCATATGGGAAGGTTGTCGTGGGTATCAAGGTGGGAATCTTGCAACTTGACTATGCGACTATCTCATTAACAGAGCATATACTTTGTGCCTGCTCCGCTGGGGACCGAATCAGGTCTTTAGAGTTCGGCAGAGCCGTACTCTTACCATCTGACCTGAAAGACCACTCACCATACAAACTAATCGGCTTCATTAAGAAGCTGGGTTTGTTTGTCCGAGTGAGAATAGATATGAGCCAGCATAAACCCTTGCGGGTTGTGGTGGAGGGTCGAATAGACCCACTCACTTTGGACCTAAACTAACCTGCACTGAGGCATTCGGACCGCATAAAAGGACAAACAGCAGGTTGACACGTTCAGTGTTCAGTTTGAGTAGAGCCTTGATGATGACAGTACGACCAGCTATCGAAAGCGCTCGCATATAAATAAATGGGAGTTATAAAGCTTCAAATCTTTTTTTTATCAAGTATCGGTCAATTCTATCACATACAAATGAATACATATTCTCAATGAAGCTGATTGTTTGATTTGGTGAGTGATCTTCCAAGTCAGCAGGAGCTGAAGAGAATTTTTCATCATTATTGTTTCATCACTATGTAACATTTTTGGATATTCTCAATGCAACTTGGATCTTACCCGAGTACACCTATACCTATTCATTTTTATTGTTCTCTATTTCTTGGTTCTTTCACCTTATTCACTGAATATTAATATTCATTCACCTGATAACAAGGATGGAATAATCAAAAACTTCCATTTCTTTTATTTCAAGGTCACGACAAGCAGGCATCCCCGATGTGGCAAGTGTACGTATGCAATTCGTATTGCTGTCGATAGACAAAGAACTACGCTAGTGACACTGTGAAAGGTGTCAATGTCAAATGTCCGGTTTTTTAATCTCCAGAGGATTTTATTACAATCAAAATTCGAATTTCCATAATATAAGAACGCAATGTCTAAACCTTCCAAAGTGAAGTCAAGAAGGAAATATATCAGTCCTGTATTTCATTTACAGTCTAAAGATGAAGATGATCAACACATAACCAAGGATGTAGTCAAGAATGTCCGAAAAACTGGTCATTTAAATTTGTCCTCCAAGCATTTGGCCTCTGGTAAAATTGCCAATAATTTTGACACACAAAATTTAACCAACTGATAATATTTCAGTACCAGATAGAATGTTTTCGATTTATGCACAAACAGATGAATGTCAAGTAGACATAGATTTTAGCAGAGGTATTAAGGAGGATGAAGCATGGTGGAACATCAAAACATTAACAAACTTGGATTTAAGTTCCAATGTTGTAACACACATCCCAGGGAAAATAGGCATGTTTCAAGACTTGGTGGTATTGAATGTAAGGAAAAAATATTTATTTGATTGATTGCACCAATAAATGTTGAAGATATGGAAATCTGTGGTACTTGAAGGTTAATAATAAGAGGGGATCATGCACCAGTTTCAAATCATATGCCGCACTTTCCTTCAAAAACCAATTTTGCTCGGCTTTCTAAATCTCACCATTGGTTTGTCTGGTGATGGTACTGAATAATACCTAAAGCACATACCATTTTCCAGAAGTTGACTGGTGTTGTCAAAGCCATCAGAGAAATGTGATGGTCATTTCATAAAGAATAGACAAGTAACAAAAATTTAACTTACGTTTTGCCCTGTTGAAAAGACGCATTTTTTCAGAATAATAACTCTAGAGCCAAGATGTTTCATCTAATAAGCACACTAGGTGTTTGAATCAAGAAAACATACCATAAGAAGGATTCTTCTATAGAGGAACTATCTTACACAGCTAAATATGATTCAAATGTGGAACTTACATGTTGTCAATAAATTCAAAACTTCAAACATAGTTCAGATTCATTCTTTGAAAGTTCACTAATCCCACTCCACAATTTTATTTTCTTATGTTCAAAGTCTTACACTGAATTGGAAAGATGAAGCTAATTCTGGAGCAAATTGTATCCAAGCTATCAATAATACACTTTCTGTATACAAACTGCATACCTACATATTGAAGAGAATTCCTAGAGGAACAAGAATGTCTGCTGCAAAAGCTTTGGCGAAGCTATTGATGACTGCATTTAGAGCAATTCTTCAGATCATTGGGAGTATTTGCTTTCATTCACCTAACAATGCTTTTGCCTTCCACACATAAAGAAAATCATCAAGTAAAACAATTTCAATTCATTTCTAAAAATATATATATTTCAAAATTCTAGGACCTGATTAGAATGCAAACAAATTTTTTCAAATGTAAATTGAATAAAATTACTATAGGGACCTCACTTTGGCAATCCATATTTTTACTTTATTGAACAGTTTTGCTGATTTGGATGGCTCTATGTTATCTGAACCTCAAGATGAAAATCCTGCTGTTTGTCAAGAACCATTATTGAAAAAACTGTAATCTCATAGTCAACAGAAAACAAGTTTTGAATGTGACCAGATCATTTCTCACAGGTTCAGCAGAAGGAATAAACTCTTATACTCACCCACTTAGAAGAGTTGGTATTGAATTATAAACCAGTTATCAAACTATAATAAAGCCAAATGGAATATTGTTAACACTCTTGCCACACAAAAAAAAATCAATGCACCTGATATCGTTCGGAATGGAAAAACTTTGAATCCATTTATGTCAACAGCTTCAAAAAACATTTTTCCTGGATAGTCAAGTCACCTTACTATTAATCTACTTAAACTGTAGATATGGATGAGGGGTTTGTTCAATAATTTTTTCTAGTCAACATACTATGTTTTTCCGCCCGCTCTCTGAGAGAAACGTTTTACAAATAAAAAATCAATTGAACATTGCAGATGCTGAAATGTTTTATGTTTTTCCCGAACAAATTTTTTTGTGCACTATCAAACCTTCGACATTTTTAATAAATATGTTTTTGAAACACAGTATTTTTCTTGACAGACTGAAAATATCAGAAGTCATTTCCTTATACAAAAAAGGTGATCCAACAAATATATCCAACTACATAACTATCACATGAGGTACTTGTATATGTGAAGTATTTGAATCAGCTGTAAGTGAATGACTCGTTTGATTTCCAAATGAAAACACAATGTTTTCAATAAATTGAAGGATGTAGCCGTTACTACGTGGTAGGAAATCATTATGAAGAAAAGACAATTGAAACTTTCTATGTTTTTTACCACTTTTATTTGTAACTAACGTTACTGCAGTTTCGTCCTATACGGACATTTTCAAACTTATACATTAAACTAAAAATGATTGATTACATTAGTCTGTATAAAATACTACTGAAGGTAATAATAGAGGTACTTAGCTTAATTGAGTACCTGAATTTTGTTTACTTGTGACAATGTGGGTACGCTAATTTGAAAACCGGTGAGTAAACTAGATCGATTAAAAAGGTGATCCAACAAATATATCCAACTACATAACTATCACATGAGGTACTTGTATATGTGAAGTATTTGAATCAGCTGTAAGTGAATGACTCCTTTGATTTTCAAATGAAAACGCTATGTTTTCAATAAATTGATGGATGTAGCCGTTACTACGGGAAATCATTATGAAGAAAAGACAATTGAAACTTTCTATGTTTTTTACCACTTTTATTTGTAACTAACGTTACTGCAGTTGCGTCCTATACGGACATTTTCAAACTTACTTGTGACAATGTGGGTACGCTAATTTGAAAACCGGTGAGTAAACTAGATTGATTTGATCATTAAGCAGGTTGCACCCACAATGTTCATGCTTATGCATTTCCAAAAATTCCAAATAATTGAGTTAGCAACCCTTCCAACTTGTTCACGATATGGAAATCTCATGAAACTCAACATTTGAATGTTCCAAATTCTTATTCACAGCTGAAATGTTGAGGAGTTCCACTGATAATTCAATTTAATGCAAGAAAATGTATAACCTGATAAATTCATCTGAAAAACGCACATTAACCTGTACTAATAAAGAGCAAATGAATAAACTACAAAAACGGCGGAACATGAATAGGTGAAAAAAAATATCCGGTGCATAATTATGTTCCATTTCTCCCACAGATATTGACAAAAAACTTTTCAGAAAGTAATAAAATTGTGTTTTGTTGAGTGGAGAGGTGCCATTGTATTATCAATATTCAATAGGATATTTTGAAGTTTGTTGATATGGTCGAACAGTTTACATTCAACGAATATGCATATATGTGGTTTTTGCATGATGGTGCTCCTCCTCATTTTACTCTGATTATGCGAGACTTTCCACAATAGATGAATTGGTACCAATCTTAAAAGCCTACATGTGTATAATAGTTTCATTCAACTAGAGATACAATAAATTGGCGGCAAGTATAAACCAAAGTGAAAAGTATCCATATTATAATGTTGGCACTGGCAAAATTTGTAAAATCTTATACTGAATCTAATGAGTGGACTATTCACAAGGAAAGGCTTGATCAGCACTTTGAAGTTAACAAAATCAATGAAGTGAATATTGAAATTACAGTTCTACCTAGTTCTATTGGACCTACAACATACAAAACTTATTCAAGACTTGTCATCCTGCTCTTTCGAAAGAGAAAAGTTATGTGATTTGTTGTATTCGCAAGTTTTGACAATTTAGTAATCTTTTTACCTATAGCTCCGAATCTATTGATTTCGAATTTCGAACTAATTTCATTTTGGTGTTGGTTATAGTGACTAATATAGGCGATCCAAAATCTTTCAACTTACCTATTTTCATTTGAGTGCAGTATATTTGCACGACAAGCTTCCATAATTCCCATCTTCAATGTAACCTGAGGGAAAACATTGAAAAATATTAATAGATCAGCTTTATGATGGTATTGTTTGAACCACTGAACTACTTAATCCATACAATATTATATTTATCAAAAATACTTTTATGAAGAAATTCGAATATGGAAAGCAATGTATTTCTACTCAATACCCTGATATTTGAAGAATATTTTAAAAAAATTCTATGCAGTGATATCTAAAACTTTTACGTTGAAAATTTTTTAGTAACTCCACTTCTTCATCTCAAAATTCTAATGGAAGCTTGATGTGACACACTGTCACTGAATTAATATTTTACAGACAGGGGTACAGACTGTTTTATTTTTCATAATACACAAGCCAGTAAGTAATCGTAAATGTTGGAATTGAATAAATTAATTAGAAGTAGAATATAACAAATTAGTAGTTTAGCAAATAATAATATTAACAACAATTTTGAGTTTAAAGTGGATACCTAGAGGCAGTATTTTAGATAAGTTTTTTTTGCAAAGCCTATGACCATGCATGAGCAGAAATTGAACAGTTTGAGATAGTTCATTAGGCCTATAAACCTAAAGGTTATAGTGGCTTGTGTTGAGATGGCAATAATCTTGTTGGGTAAATCTAGAAGGTCATTCTTGATTCCTTATTTCTACTCATGGCACGAAAGTAGACAATGTTCAGTCATTATCTGGCACCTTCTGATATTTCAGAATTTCAGGAAATGGGTCAGACAGTTGAGCTCTTTGTGAAAAAGAATAATGATACGATATTTGTCGTGGACTTTTCAGCTCCTGGCGGGACGAATATCGTCCGAAAAGAGGAGGAAAAACGGATAAAATATCGAGATTTTCTCTTGGAACTCCGCAGACTCTATCCAGACCACTCTGTCAAGATGGTTGTTCTGATTGTTAAGTCCTTGGTGGAATGATGCCCTCTCTACTCTCAAATATTAAAATCATACCGGCTTGCCGCAGTAGGGCAGAAATCTTAGCCGGACAGATGCAGAAGGCTGTCATTCTTGGCTCACTGCGCTTGTTCATGCAGCTGCAGTTTCGTAAGAATGTATCATCTTTCCCTCCCACCGATTTCCTGGAGTCTTTGAAGTCCACTAGATACTCGTTAGGACAACAAGAGGATTGTTCTGAATTCTTGGGGTTCTTGTTGAATACTCTTCGTGGGCAAAACAATAGCAGAATCAATACTCCTGACCACTCTGGATTGAATGATTCTGAGCAGTCTATCTCGTCTTGTGCTGGAAAAATCCTCACTTCTTTACTTTGTAGTAAATGTTCAAGAGGTAGCAAAAACCTATGTGAATTTCTGGAATTTCATCTAGTATTTCCTAATATGACTAATAATCAGTCCGTGCAAAGCTTATTGTTAAATCATCTGAAAATGGAATTTTTAACAGGTGATGATCGACTGTATTGCCTAACATGCGTCAAACTAACTGACTGTTATAAGGAAACAAGTATATTTGAGGCACCAGTCATCTAATAATAACACTGATGATCTTCAAACAAGACTCAAACACCAAACAAGCACCAAACTCTTTCAAAGTTTCGAAATAGATGAACACTTCAATCTAGCAGACCACTATTATAATATTCATGCAGTCATTGTTCACTGTGGTTCTGACGTTGAATTTGGTCATTATTACGCCTTGGTCAAAGATGGAACGGACTGGTTTAAGTTTGACGATAGTCGTGTCACGAAGTGTTCAGGCGATATATTTAATTTATTGGAGCCTCTGGAGGCACCCTACATTTGGTTTTATGAGAGGGCATTGACAGATCAAGATCTTCAGATGATGTGGTGCTGCAGGTTTTTCCGGGTTTTCCTGCGGCTGAAAAAGCAAATGCGCCACTGGAATCAATTAAGTCCCCCCGGAGCGCCAATTAATTTTTATTGTTGTTTTATAATTTCACAAATAATGATCACTTACCCCACGGTATGGGGAATGGTCGTTGGATGATAATGCTGGCGCGCCCTCCCGAATGTATCGGGGCTTCGGGGGATAGGGCCTGACCAGCGGACACTACGGTGAAAACATATTAATAATAATAATTACGCACTTATTGTACTGTATATATGTTTACTTTTACAAGAGTTGAAAAATACATCCTTTAATCACATTTTCCTTATTTCTATTGAATAAGACAATACTTGTGTGCTTTCTTCAATATTTTATTCAGCTACCTACTTGGCTGCAGATTAATTATATTATATAAACAATATGGAATAATTCCTATTTCTAGCAGTCTGAGGTCACCCAAGCTCAGCTTGTATTGTGTCCTTCAGGCTGCTAAGTTTTAACAAGAAAATTGTAATATAGGTACTACTGTAAATCTGTCTAATAAGGTAATATAGTTTGGTTTCAAGAGATAGGTTAAAAAGATAGGTTGAATGGTGACATATGGTAATTGATATAAATATTAATATGATTAAGATATGGTAATTTAGAGATATAGAGGTATAGAGGCATACAGCAATTTCTTATTCAGTGGCGATGACAAGTTTCTCTTTTCAACTTTTTATCAGTTTTCTGTAGGTTTCACAAATGATTTCTTTATACCTCTGTTACTTTATATTACCCTTCATTAGTATATAACAACTTTGTACTTGTTTTGTTTCAGTTACAAGATAACCTGTTAACAGAACTACCTGAGGAAATTGGTAACTTAACAAAATTAACCAGACTATGTTTAAACCACAATAAAATTAACAAACTGCCTAAAGATTTTAACAAATTAACGGAGCTGAAGTATTTATCTATGAGTCATAACTATTTGGAATGTGTTTCAAAAAGTGTTGTTGATCTAATCATGTTAGAAAAATTGGTAAGTAATTTGTCAGCATGAATGTGTGGGTTTGTTACTTCTGCATTGAATAAAACAACTGTATTGATAATTTACTTTGCTATTTTCATTTAAGGATATGTCAAATAATTCAATACAAAAATTGCCACCTGGAATTGGATTTTTAGTTCGTCTGACGGAGTTGAATATTTCAAACAATAAACTCACTGAATTGCCACCCGATATTGTTAATCTAAGAGGTAATATAACAGTAATAAATATGATAATGCCTATTGTATGACATTTCGATTCTTGACTTTTATCAAACCAAAATGAAGTCAACGATTTTATTATTTATCATGTGACATCTGCATTCAACCTCCACAAATTTCACAAAAACACCGGATTTTTTACAATTTCATATCTTCGATGTGCATATTAATACATTCCTGGCAACATTAAGAAAATCAATAAATTGATGAATACAAGCGGTTTCTACGTAGTAGGAAATCATAATGAAGAAAATAGAATTGAGACTTTCTATGTTTTTTACCACTTTTATTTGCAACTAACGTTACTGCAGTTTCGTCCTATGAGGACATTTTCAAACTGGAACTCCTTATAGGACATTTTCCTCCTTATAGGACGAAACTGCAGTAACGTTAGTTGCAAATAAAAGTGATTAAAACATAGAAAGTTTCAATTCTCTTTTCTCCATTATTCAGAAAATTATTGAATGAAATACAATCTCTATTTTGGTATGTATAACCATCACTGTACATTATAATTCTTTCATTTTCATGTTCGTCATTAACTTCAGCTATTACTGTGATATATTGAGAATCGGAAGATGAGAACGTGTAACTTTGTTTTATAATAGAGTTAACAGAAATTTGACTTGGGTGTAATTGGTAATACCTGGTATTTCCATCGTCCATCCTTATCTTTACCTTTGTCTCCTCGGGTTTCTTTATTTTTCCTTCTCTTCTTCTGTATCTGTTGCCACCTCAAAACAGGCACACTTTTCAGCCTACAGGAGTGTCCTACAGGACACTCTATATATAAGGTAAAATTTTTACTTTTAAATAGATTCAAAAACTAACTTATGGAATGAGTTTTTATATGCTGCTTTTAGCATCATTGGTTAACTCAAAACCAGTAAATGTTTTCTGTGGAATTCCATTCTGATAATAAGTATAACTTCAATGATGTCTCTAAACATTAGTGAGATTACATCACAGAAATAAACACCAAAGGTTGATTTCATCCTTATTTACAATTTGCTCAGTTGCATACTCAAGTAAGATACAATTTTTCATTAAAACACGACTGAATGTTGCGCGGGAATGTGGGGAACACTGTCAGTGAGGCTCCCATAGGAGGTCGCAGGTTTTAATGTGGAAATTGGCTATTGATAAGAAAGTAGACATGTCGTGTCTCATCTCTCACAATTTCAATTTTTTTTACCACAAAGCAGATANTAATGAATTATGGAGAGTATATATACTCGTATTTGAAATGTCAATGACATTGAAAATGATGAAAGTTTTTATGAAGAGAGCTGTCAATTTTGACTGCAACCAAGAACTTCATCTCTTTATCAATATTTGATTTTTTCTTATGTTGATGAAAGCGATAAATCACAAGATAGCTTGCGGCTTCAATTCATTTTGTGAAATAAATTGCCAATTCATTATTCTGATTCATTTTTTCACATTTGTTGAAAAAAATCTGCTTAAAATCCTCAAAAGTCGAAACTTTTGCGAGCTTATGATTAAAGAGGTCTTGCCTTTTAACGGGCGAATCCTAGTAGAGATTATTGGGCTTTAGGCAGTGAAAATCGATGGTCCGACCTCGCGGCTTGAACAACCGTTTCACCTGAGGGTCGATTGGACGAGTGGAACTAATCACTCATGCCATCCCAACTGGCTACCATTCCATGTGAATGGTTACATCTGAATTAAATTCATTTGAATTTATCCAAATCTGCATGAAATCCAGCTATAAAGAGTGTTTCCTAACTACGATACGAAACGTCAGAGGGTGATTCGTTAGGTCATTTCAAGAAAAAAGTTCTTATGAATATAAATCCGGAGTTGCTTCGTTTCTGAGCTACAGGGCGTCGATGTTAAAAATAAACAATATTTATAAGATTTTTAATATCCTTACACCGATTTGGTTTTTTGAAATAATAACTAAATTGAAATTATTAGGTCCAGTGGAGTCTCAGTGGGTACCACAGCCAACAATATTGGGAAAAAAAGGACGCCACTGACTTGTAGTTTTTTATTTTTTTAGATTATTCAACTAAAAATACAACTTTTTCGTTGCTTGTATTTCTTTCATATCTAGCTACGTTTTCACAGAGACCAGGTGACAGTGATAGCACAGTGCTGAAACATTTAGAACGCTACATGCAAGATTATGTGAAACTGGAAGTATTAATAAAAATGCAGGTGGTGGAAGACCAGAAACTGTAACAACGCCTGAACGAGAAGCTATACTTGACGGGACAGATGAAGATCCTTCAGCTAGTACCAGAAAGATTGCACTGCAGGTGGAAGTCAGCCCAAAAACCGTATGGACAGTTCTAAAAAGAAACCTCCTACATATCACAGTGTCCAAGCTCTACTCTACAAGTATAAATTACTGCAAAACAATGTGGATGCTAAATAGAAATGATTCCTGTTGAAATAACTAATTTATTCCACCTTTCGAAATTTGATATAACAAATAATGATATTAAAGAGTAAGTATGTCAATTTATATACCTACCTAAGTTTGTTAATACCTTGCCTTATCATTTGTTTCATCTAAGTGCATTATCTAAGTGAAAGAAAAATCATTTTCTCCTCTTCGAATATCTGTTTTGACCTGTTCATTTGAAGCAATATTTTTGACATATAAATATGCTACTGAACATTTTAATACTTACAAAATGTTGCAAACAACAAGTTTTGAGAGGAGAGATATTATCCATTTGTTTGTTAATCAAAATTTAATTAATATACACTTTGAATTTACCAAGAATTTACTATAAAGGTTTTAACTCTAATCCGAGGTGAAAACCCCCAGGCGCTCCACTATACATAAACATTTTAATACTTACAAAATGTTGCAAACAACAAGTTTTGAGAGGAGATATATTAGCAGCCATTTGTTTGTTCATCAAAATTTAATAAATATACACTTTGAATTTACCAAGAATTTACTATAAAGGTTGCCGAATACCATGGGGTTGATGCCACATTTGCAAACGTTGAAGGTAGACGGAAACAAACTAAAACAAATCAGACCCGATATAATTCAAACAGGGACTAATAGAATTATGAAGTATTTGAGGGAAAAAATAAGTGAAGAGGATCTGCAAGCTATGAATATCCCATCAGATGTTTCCTACGATTGCAAAATATTTCCCGATAGGTAAGGAAATTAATACTTCACATTCAAAAATGTTGATGACTTCTAATTGCACTATTTCGTAGGTATACCATGAGGAATGGCAATGTTTTGAATTTGGCAATGAAAGATATATCTGAGATTCCTGAAGAATGTTTTCTTGAAGCTAAGGAGGCGAATGTAACGTCTGTAGATTTATGTAAAAATAAGTTCCACAATGTTCCTTCTGGGTATGTCATACTACACTAAATGTAGAAAGTGTATACGTATCCACTCTCTAATAATTTTTGACTTATTTTATTTTTTCAGACTGTCATTACTTTCAGATCGTTTGACAGAGTTGAACTTGTCTTCGAATCGTCTATGTGAGGTACCAGACTTTCTTTCGGATTTAACAATGCTGAAATTTCTTGATTTGAGTAAGAATCAATTGAACTCTTTACCAGAAAATTTTTCAAAAATGGTGTTCCTGAGAGAATTGGTACTGAATAATAACAAGTGAGCGAGATTCATATGATTTACTAAATGAGGCTGACGACATACAGGTCGAAACATTCTGTTTCACTATATGTTTCGAATAGTGTGCGACGCCCTGAATTAATACATTTCATAAGTTTTGTCTATAACACAGTGAAACTTGGTGTTAAGTTGAGAACCACTAACTAGATAAAAACGAGGTATTGATAATTTTCATACTGAATTTTTATCAACTTATTCAGTTCACTAATTTATAGAAACATTGTGTCTACTCTAAGGTATCATATATGTAGTTATATGTGACACATTTTACAAATACTGAAAACAAAATAAGCTTCTAAAATATACTGAATTTATTCAGTATGACAGTCAATTCACTCATTTTTGCTGATTATGGAGTTACTCTGTTATATCTTATTCAGCACAACAGTATATAGGATTCTTTTATGAAGTGGGGGGTTTTCAAAAACTAGAACATACAAGTATGTATAGAGATTACTATGAATTAAACTGATTTTGTTAATATTGTTCATTTGATTCCATTTTTTTTGGTGTCAATGGCATCGTCTGGTTGGTCATTAGCGTCTTGTTCTGGTCAGGAATATTAATAACTCCCTGATCCATCTAGGGAACGTCAAGGGCGTCGCCAACGGGGGGCAGTTCCTCCCCCCCTAGAGATCAAATGTAGCTAGCCGCAAAGCGACCAAAGTGCGAGCAATTGATTTTCTTATCTATTAATGAATTCCACATCGCATGACAAAACGTAAATAAATTCACAAGGTTTAATGTATATTGTAGAAAGTATTGAAATATTCAGAATAACATTAAGATTTTGAAATCCGTTTTTAAAGTCGCCACCATTATCATCATGACTATATCAGATTTGCCATCAAACAGTTAAAATATGTAGGTAGGAGGTAGGTATGGTGTGTGTGTGTGTGTGTGTGTGTTGTGTGCATTGCATTTCTTTCTACGACAGCCGTTCACCATCATTCACGTTAGTTTTGTATAATTTGTATGCGGCATACCGGCATATATAAAGTAGAAGTTATTGTTACGAACATACAATTTGAATTGGTTTTGTGGACAATGCCATCTATAAGTGTAAGTGTTAATAAAAAAACACCTACAGCCTACAGTTGAATAAATCGACTACAATCCTTGTAAACCTAGTATTGCTACTCGACGCTAGATGGCGCTTGTTCAATGAACTCTCTGGAATTTGGTAGCAGTTTCTAGACCGGGTCAGATGTTACCGTACATTCTAGTATGATATTCGTTTGGGTATATAAAGACTTGAGCCGCTGTGAGCGAATCACTTTTTAATTGGAAGCGATGATCGAAACAAGCTAAGCAAGCGAATTGGAAAGCCATTATAAGACTACCGACTTGCCTGTATTAGCCGCGGTCAAAGCGTCGGAACACAATTTTACTTTTACTTAAAAACCACCGTGAGAATCCGTGACAGACGAAATTAAAAAGGAGCTACTGCTGTTGCGGAGAAAGTCGGACTGGAGGAGTACATTACATCCATTACATCAATGCCGCGTTTTACGGGGAAACAACGTCATAGAAGCAATCATCCAGCAGAAAGCCCTTCAGAATACTGGAAGAGGTCTTTAGTAATACCATACTTGGATTAAATTATCACCACCCTTGAAGTACGTTTTGCTGAAGAAAACACGCCATCATTCGCATTATCTGAGTTACACCCGGCGCAGATGCAAAAGATGGCAACTGAAGATCTGAAACAATCTTGTGAATCTATTGCCCAGTTTACCGAACATAAAGAATGAAATCGAACTTTGGCAGCAAATGTGGCATGATAGGATTAATCTAAACAGATCTTACAGTTGTTGATGTCCTAAAAGAAACAAATTCCTTCTTTTCCGAAACGGAGAAAGCATTGAAAATTTTGAACGCTTCACCATGCACATGTACAGTAGAGCGATCCTTTAGCATCATTAGAAGACATGGCTAAGAAGCACCATGGCAGAAGATCGCCTTAATGGTCTGGCCATGATGAGTGTACACAGAACTATAATAAATAAAAACCTAAATAATTTTAATGATAAAGTGGTTCAAAGTTTTGCAGAAAAATGTTCAATTTTTATCCTCCATAATATTGCTCCATTGCCCCCCCTCTTAGTCATAAGCTGGCGACGCCCTTGGGGAGCGTCATGGGTATTCGCAGTCTGTCAACCATGTAACCATTATGTAACATTGCAGAATCATCCCAACTTCAAGTAGATAAATACTCTAGTCAAGGGTAGGGCTTAAATGAATCATTTTTATGGCGAAACTATGAAAAACGTGTTTCAAAATGTCTATTGAATTTTTTCTCAAACGAATCAAGGAAATATTATTGTTGTTGAAGGTTTCAGGTCCCCTGGGAAGGGGATTTGGGGTTTTACACTTTCATATATTCCATTGTGAAAATATTCTTAATTCCTATACTAAGTCAGTCTGATAAAACAAAACAAAAAGTAATATGAATAACTCTTTTTTTTTTGTTTTAAAGTAAAATGTCTTTTTTTTTAAGGAAAGCCATGCCTATAATATTTTTTGTACAACTGTCAAAAAAACTTGACACTTGTGCACCTCTAGTGATGCGTAAATGTTTACTTTTTTTTCCATTGAAAAAAAAAAGTATATTCATTGTGAAGGTTCATTCATTTCTGTTCTACTTTCTAATTTCTACACAAGTGAACATTTTTATCCCTTGGCAATAACTGATTTTCGGCAAACTCAGTTTTTATGGAGGGCGTGTTACAAGTTCAGCGAATGCATTAGATAATAATTGGTAGATTATGTTGAAATTGTGGTCTTCAAATTTTGTTTGAAAAATAAAAATGAGACTTTTCAAAGGGTCGTAAAAAACTTTGTTGAAAATCTTGAATGATACATGTTTGGGCAACACATTGAAGAAGTCAATGGCTTCTTCCTTATTTCACCATTGAATGTTGTCTATTCAGTTTTTAGGTCGGTAGATGGCGAGTGCAATCTTTTGTCAGTTTGTAGAACTTTCGCAATTTTTTGAACATTCAAAAATACAAATAATTAATATGTGTAAATGAACTAATGGGTTTGAGATTACATATTACAAATACAGCAAAACTAATATTTTCTCCTATTCAAAGATTCGAAAGATATGTATACCATAGTAAGTTGCATCTGTATGTTAGTATGTTGAACTGTTTTGCTGTGCATTTGTTATATTTCCAGAGCTTTTTTAATTTTTCAAACACATGAGAAGGACAAACATGTATATATTGCAGAAAAACGAAGTTATGATTGCAAATTTAATGAATAGTGTAGAACATTATTACTAGCAAAAGATGAGTTCTTGAATTCATCAGAAAAAATTCCGATGTATCATAAATAAAATAATATGTGAATCTATCATTCAGATCGATCCATGGAATCACTGATGAATTCAAGAATTTGTTTGATATTAGTAATTTGCATAACATGTTAGGAATCACACGTTAAAAGGTAAGACCTCGTTAATCCTTAGCTCGCACAAGTTTCGGCTTCCGAGGGCTGTCGTTTGTAGGGGTGCGACAGCTGGTTAACGGAAAACCGGATTTTTTAAACAGATTCTCAATTTTCAGAAATTGAATATTGAATTTTTTTTTGCACTTTGAACGATGCTTTGTTCATCGCAGACTCATTCAAAACTACATTTAAACTTTCAAAATTCTTGAAATAAATGTAACTTTATTCTCTTCAGACTGATCTTAAAGAAAATATTAGTTTTTTTGTAGCAGTATGACTTGTCTATACCAATGACAAATAAAATTATTTTTAGATTCACTAAAATTCCATCTTGTGTATTTGATATGGTTGGCCTGGAAATTCTTCTAATAAAAGAGAATGGTGTTGAAGAGATATCAATTGAAGGTCTGAAACTTTTGAAAAGGCTCGCCACTTTAGATCTTTCTAATAACAACATTCATGTAGTACCACCAGAACTCGGAAATATGACACAGTTAAGGTAGGTTTGAAACGAGGGTTTTTTTAGTATTCAAAAAATGTTCCTTCTCTTTTGAAACGTTTGATACTACTATCCCTAGCTGTAATTTACTTTAATTATATCACCGTCTTGTCATTCGAGAATTTTGATAAATCTGTCATTAGTTTGGTACCACACAATTTTTCTTCAGAAAATTATAAATTGGATATTTTTTCCAAGAATTTGATTTTCACAATTTATATATATTTTTTGAAACAATCAACTTATTCGAAATAGACATGTTGAAATTAATTGGAATCACATAGCTCTTTTTAACAGGAGTGATATTCAGCTTTAAAGCAATGCATGTTCCAAGCGTAATTTTCTTGAAAACAAAAAAATTGTAAAAGATGTTACCAATAGTTCGTTTCAAGAACTGATGGAAAATTATATGCATATATCCATGTCATCTTTTATGGGAACAGTATTTTTTTTTGACGTCCAATGCGTTCTGCATCATCAGTGTCTCTACGACCACGTTTAAAGTCAGCAAACCAACGTTTGCTAATGGAGCAGAGCCTTTCTGTATCTGTAGAGTAGGGAAGGTGAGTGTAAGCCCACATCACTTGATCCACATCTGACCAATTGTACATCCTCCCGAGGAGGTGTCCTCCTAGGTCATCGTCTATCCTGTCCTTTACAGGAAGGTGAACAGGTCACTTGGAGACGTTTCCTTTATATCGGCAGGTGTAGGCCAAGACTCGCCGAACACAACCTCTCTTATTGACGATAACTCCGGGCACTCGCATAGGACATGCCTGACAGTCTCATCTTCCTGTGCACACATCCTGCATACAGGTGTGTCCACTAGCCTAATATTATGGAGGTGTTTTCTTAGTTGACATCAGAAATCCTACTGTTGAGCGTATATTTTTCCTGGTCATCGCCAGATATTTCTTCGGCGCCAGCTTCCCAGGTTCGCCCAGTGTGATCTTGGAAAGACTGCATCCTTAGATTACATCCCATCTCTTCAGGGATTGAACATTTGGCTAGTTCCGCAATTATCGAAGTCACTGGGTCCTAAAATTCTTCGTGCAGCTGCTTCCTTGGCTAAAGAGTCGGCAATGCGATTACCTTTACTCGTGTCATGCCCTTTAACCCACCTCAGGATAATGTTATTATCTACCAAGGCTTTGGATAAACCTTGGTGGCACTCTAGTACTAGCTCTGAGGTAACACATTGCCTGTTCAAGGCTAATAGGGCTTGTCAGCTTTCTGTGCAGATTGTTATGTTTTTGCCAGAAATTCTTTTCCTGGTTATTTCTTATGTGGCGATTGAGATACCAGCCAGTTATGTTTGAACCACGCTGGTATTTTTTCCCATTCCCCACTTAGTCCTTAGGCTTAGTGATCTGGAGTACACTCCACATCTTGTGCCTTCTTTGGTTTTCGAGCCGTCTGTATATATGCGTATTGAATTTGTAGCATCTGACTCTGTGTTCTGTTTTATTTGTATTTTGTAGGGTTCATTAACCACAAATCTGAATTTAATTGCATCGCTGGTTGCCTGCAGCAGAGGTTGCGCAGTAAGCGCTTCTCGCCATAGGCCCAGCCTCAATTGACCCATTCCTACTTCAAGGTTTACACCAGCCGTATGCAATCGTAACATGGCCATTAATGCAACCTCCTTAACGTACAGGTGTAGAGGGGTCAGACCAGTAATTAATTCCATTGCCGCGGTTGGTGTTGTTCTCATGGCTATGATGTTTAAACAAGCCAGTCGCTGTATTTGATATAATTTTTGGATGGCCGTTACTTGTAGAACTTTCGGTCCCCATGCAATGGCTCCGTACGTTAACATAGGTCTTATTATTGTAGTGTAAATCCAGGTGACCACACGGGGTGAAAGACCCCATGCGCGTCCCACTGTCCCCCGACATTACTCATAAGCCACATATGCTCTTTTTGCTCTACTCCGTAGGTGAGAGTTCCATGTTAGCTTCCTGTCGAGGATAGTACCAAGGTATTTCACGTCTTCAGATTAGTTTACTTTGCTTTTGGATATTTCAGGAAGTTTAAAGCCCGATAAACTTCTTTTCCTGGCGAAAAGGACCATCTCAGTCTTCTTGGGGTTGATCGACAGTGAGTGTTTCTTACACCATGTTTCTATTGATTTCAGCACATTCTGCGCTCTACCGCACAGTGTGTTCACAAATTTGCCGGTCTGCAAGATAACTATGTCATCTGCATATGCAATTGTGTAGAATCCATTATTGTTGGGGTGATTAATCAGGGTTTCCTTATAACAGTATTTAAGCCATTGCTTCGCTTCGTACATTTTCCCACCAAGAAACAGTGTAAAATTAAAACACGAAATTGTTTTTGATCCATTGTTCTAAAAATAACAAAAGTAGTATCATTCTCAGCACAATAACTCACAAACTTATGAGAAGAATATAATTAAATTTCAACAGCTTCCTTTTGAAGGTTAGATATCTACTGAAAAAGCGGTGGATGCAATAAGACTATCGCCATCTATGTGTTAGGCCCGATACTTTTTAGCCCATGTAGTATCTAACAATTATGATGACTTACTGGTCGAAACAGAATTTGAATTTTTTATAGTTTTCAGCAAGTTGCTGATTTGTTGTGGTTTTGTCCGTTTGGTGAAAATTCGCTTCAATAGTGTTTATTTTTCATTTATTTCTTTTGAAATATATGATTTTTATAATACAACAGAAACTTTCAACTCGTGCATTTTATGATGGATTTTATTTTCAGGTGTCTAGAGTTGAAAGGCAACCCTTTTCGACAACCGAGGTATGCCATATTAGAACAAGGAACAGATACCATTTTATCATATTTAAGAGACAAAATACCGATATAATATTTAGGAGTCAAACGTTCTCAGCTTTTAGTACAAAATAAGTCAGAAAAATTGTGAATAATTATTAGATCTGATTTAGATTTAAGAAAAAGTACTACCTACTACTTTCGTATCTTATAATTGAATTACCATCCCATTTGGTGTGTTCATCTGTACATACTCATTTTTGTAAAAATAATTCGTCTAATTCAGTATTACTTTGATCAATTTGTAATAAAGGATTATTAAAGAAATATAATTATTTTCTTTTTGATTGATAATCACTTGATATTAACAGATTATATTGTCCAATTTTGATTTTGCCAGAAACTTTTGTGAAACCTATTTACTATCGTACAATCATCGTCTTCAGGGTCATCACCCGAAGACGATTGTAGATACTAACAATCGAAACGTCGTGAACTAACGTGGCTTGGAATAAATTAAAAATATGAATATTGGTGATAGATTTCCGGGAGGTGGGACTTTTTTAGAAAACTTCCTCTTAAAACTTTTGCAATTTTTTCGAACCCCTCTTGAATTTTTTTAAAAAGTTGCTAGAGGTCATTCCGAAGTTTCAAAAAAGGTTCTTGTGATCCAGATCACAGGAGTTCAATCACATTTATGACGTATTGTATTTGGAAGAGAGGTTCATCAACCATTTTGAATGCTTACAAATCAATACATTTGAGAATTCGTGATCATTGCTCAATAATCAAATATATTTGAATTATTTCACTTCATTGAATTCAGTTTGCAATGATGAAATTGGTAATTAGGATAGATCTCAAAATTAGGTAAAATGAGGTATCAGGTATAACTTGTATTCATTATTTTTCAGTTTATTGAGTTGTCATGTAGCAATTTGTCAAGTAGAAATAGTCATTAGGATTCAAATTACTATAAAAGCATGACACATAATTTGTTCAGTCAGTATTGTGACGCCTGAAGGTGCTATTGAATAGCGAAAAACGTGTCGCGGTTTTGTAAACTGTCAAGTGGAAATCTCACATTGAAGTGTTTCATGAATACGCTGTTATAATTAGGTTAAACACTTAAGTTTCTCAAAATATTCTTTATTCCAGTTTTATTTACACTTCTAAGAAAATAGCTGTATATCTAAAGCTACATTCTATTAAGATAATTATTTATGTGTAACCTTAAAATATATTTCAATGTGCAGGCGGTTTTGACACGCTGACAAACCTGGTTCACCGTTTTAGCCGATCATCATGGCCTTGAATTCTGGAAAAAAAAACAATTTTTTTATCTGAACTATTTTACGAATATCTAGATTGATTTGCAGAATCACATACTAGTTACAATGCTAAACAATTGATAGAATATTCAGGATGCCCCTAGATGAAAGGTTTATTACAGAAATTAAGAATTGAAATGAACAATCACAGGTATGATGGTACACGCTATAAAAATCTCATTCAATAAAAGTAGAAAGCAAGGTTTGGTGAATAGTAAAGAATAAATAATTTGTTTTTGCCATTCCTCCATTAGACCTAGCTGACATCAGTAGACCTAGCTGACAAATTATTAAATTTGAATATCAAACAATATCAAACTAGAATCATGCGACGTAAAAACATGTTTCCTAACATTCCAATAGTCGAATGTCTTCCCCTCGTGAAATACATATTAGATAAGAGTAATACAAATCCATATACAACCAACGAATTTTGCAATCTCCTGTACCTATACATGCCTGAAACAAAATTTCTTCAAATATAATAATAATTTTTAACTACAAAACTCAGGTCTCCCTATGGGCTCACCATTAAGTCCCATTTTGGCAGACATTTTCATGGACACACTAGAAAATACCCGCATCCTTAATAACTCCTTTCCTCAGAAACATATTGTGTTTTGGTTCAGATATGTTGATGACGTACTGGTTGCTTTTCATGATTCAATCAATTTTTAAACTTTCTCAATAGTCTGCTCAACAAAATTAAATTCACAGTAGAAATCGAACAAAAGAAGGGGCTTTACTTCTTAGATTTGAATATTTCAAGAGTCAATAATGGTTTTCAATTCAATATCTACCACTATCACATAAGTTATCCGCGTTTAGGACGTTGGTACACAGAGCTATCGCAATCCCTGCACCTGAGAAGGTACCAGTTTCTCAAATAGAAAAGAAAATATCAGGTAAAACTCATAATAAAACACTTGATAAGTAAATTATACCCAAACTGCAGAGAACACAATATAGTTATGTTTAGTAGCATCAACTAGGTACTCAAGTAAACTTTCAGAAAATATTCAAAATTACTTTTCTAATAATTTAGCCAGAATTCTGTTTAATGCAAAACCCAAAGGAGATTGAATGAAAAAATGAGGTACCTATATATAGAATAGAGTGTGGCGAATGCTCTGCAGTATATACAGGCTAAACAGGTAGAAATTTTGACGTAAGTCTGCATGAACACCTCTATTTGGACAAAAAATCTACAATACATGAAAATTTTCCCATACACATATTTTATAAAGGGAAGAAAATGAATTTGTTGGAAGCCATGGAAATTAACAAATCAATAAAAAACAGAAATATATACCCCTAAACGAGCAACTCGATTTATGTAGGTCTCCACTTTTGAATATATAAGTTTAACAACCCCTATAATCTTCAATGTCGCATTTTAAAGTTTGCACCCTGGTTCGTTCAACTACCTGTCCTTCCATCTTACCTGGAAACTCCCAATATAACCGAGTTTTCAAATTTCACATATTAGTTTTACACTTGATAATGGGCTTAAACCCGAAACCGGTCATTTAAATAAAATCAACTACTGGTAATTAGACAAAAGTGTTCTTATTCATTTCATTCAAGCAGGGTTCATGAATTACCACCAAATAAACAAGTCTTCAATTGCACATATTCCATTAGAAGTGTTTTAACACTTTTGAATACATATGTTTGTTGCAAAATGATTTGCTAGTTTATGTTTGAAATATTTTAGAATAATCTTACCTTCCCAATCTACCGTGCCAGAATTGTCAGTATCAATTTCTTTGATCATTTCATTCAGATCCTTAGGGGTCAGGTTGGGTTCCAGCTCTTTCAAAATATCTCTCAGAAGGTCCACCCCAATATAACCAAGACCTAGAATTTTTGAGGAATATACAATTAGTTGATACACAGGGTAAGCAATAACCATATATCAAATAATGTTATCGATATGAAATAATTGTCAGATACTGATCGAGATTTCCTAATGCAGGATAAGTAAAAAAATAATGGAGTATTCGAAATTCAAATTTCCTAATATGTGAAAATGAAACAGGTAAGAGATTGAGTTACCAACTGTCCGAAGTAAATTGTCTATTTCTCATTGTAATAATGAGAAATAGAAAAAGAGTTGATGACGAACCCCGGACGTTTTTTTAATGACGGAAGGCAATCAATATAAAGGACTGATGATATCAGAAAACGATGAAATCATTTATTTTTTATTGTTATATATAATTACAGAAATCTCAAGATGTGACTACTGGCTCAATAGTGACAGAAATTGGCGCTTTTACATTATATGTTATAAAGATAATCCTTTGCTAGTAGGTTTGTAAACCGATGTGTTGATGTTGCTTCCATCTTCTTCTTTCTATTTTCACCATGAAAAACGTCAACCTATTCTGGGAGTCTTTATCAATCATGCATTTTTCAGCTGCTCACGGAGTTTGTTGAAGTAGTCATAAAAAATGGGATGATACAAGTATAATGAAAGAAACAGATGAGGAGAAGCCAACCTCTTTGGGTTCAAGAACATAACTGTGACCTGTATGGATATTTTTTCAAAAAATATACAAAGATCTATCAGAAGGACCCATTGAGATTCTTTGATTTAGTCTTCATATTTCAGACTACCTGTTGTTCGCGAGAAATAGGATGATATAATGAGAAAGTTAACTTTCTTAGGTTCACAGACGAAGATGTGGACTATTAAGCGATCTGATCAATTAGTTGTCCCACCTTTGATTCATGAGAAAATTATTTCACAAACTGTGGAATTTAGGTAATTAAAGTTTCAGTCAAATTAACTGAACAGTATTTTCCTAATAAATGTTTGACGTGATTATCAGAATTGACGAATCTTCTAAATAATATTCACGAAAAAATTGAAATAAATCAAACACTTAATGTTGAGTGAAGCTTACCAAAGTAGATTAGTGAAAACATCACCCTAATCAGTTGAACCGTTTTTTGAGATAAGCGCACACGAATGTACAGATGAACAGATAAAATACCGATCATTTACACATTTATTGCATCTGATGATATTGATAACAATGCCTACAGCAGAAGGTATATCATTATGTGGATGGTATGCAAGTTTTTTAAATATTTTATTGATGCATATGTATGAGTAGGAAGCCTAAACTAGCTTATTCAATCATGACTTCAAAACGATGTTGGATGTGTAACTTTCATAATTTTACAGAAATATAAGGATCAAATTATCAACCCTAGATAAATCCATTGGAATTAATCTACCTATTAGCAGTGGCTAAGGACCAAAAAATACGACGATTTCGTTGTCACCCGGTATATTATAAAATCATCATCACTATTACTATTTGCTACAAATATAAGTCCACTTCGAAAAGACACCTCGAAAGTCTAATTAGTCGCTTGTTGTATTCATAAATTTTGTATATCCATCTCCGTTCCCAAAATTCAATGAATTCAGAAGTATATTTCATTTGTCAAACGTCAAACGAATGAAATGTTGAGGTGTCATATTCGATAATCTACATAAATACACAGGTCACGAGCAAAACCCGAAAATACGGTTGAAAAACGAATGTTTGGTTATAATATATACCTATACCTTGTTTTTGTTTAAACGTATAAGTAGTCTTCAGATGAAGACTATATATCAGTGGATGTTTTTGAAATATTCGTCAAAAACTAGAATTGTTGCATTTCGTTTTTTGGCTCTACTGCCTCCATTTCGAATGATATTAAAAAGGAGAGAAACTTTCGATACTGTTCTATATTTGTTATGATCTGATATAACCTAATTTGCAAAGCGAAGTTTTGTTCAATTGAAACCTTAAACTTAATTTTGTTAAATGGAAACCTGTATATACAGCTAAATTGAAAAAGATAGAGTTGATGATGAAATATAATGAACGAAACGTCGCATTGCAAATTGGTTCATATCAGATTATAACAAATTATCAAACAGTATTGAAAGTTCCTCTGCCTTTTTCTATATTATTTGAAATGGAGGCCGTGGAGCCAAAAAACGAAATTTGACAATTCTTGATTATTCTAGTTTTCCAAAACATGTTCTTCTATTCCAATTTAACCGATCTTGTAGGTCTTACCGTTTCCTAGATAGTAAAAGCGGGATCAGTTAAAAAAACAGCCTGTATATAGAGAAGACAGATAACAGGATCGGGGATAAAGGAAGAATATTTCAAAATCAACTGGTTATCATGCAAATAAATAGTGTGAAACAAAAACTGTTCCCACGGAACCTTTCAAAAAAATGAGATAACTCAAAAAAATCGCATTTATTTTTCAGCAATTAATAAGTGTATTTCAAATAACTACCTGGTTGCTATTACTGGGAAGAGGGGTTGAAAACGGAAAAATGACTATTAACTGATCTCTCACCTAACATCCTATTTCATTCTTCTGACGTTATCAAAGAACATATACTTGTTTTCGATTGAGACATTTTTCAGAAGTAAATTTATTGGGTTTCGAGATCAGAAAAGGATACTTTTCCGAAACATTAACCATTTGAAGAACGCTGTATCAAATTTGATTTTTTTATTGAATATTCGTTTTATAGGCAATCTGTATCTGTAGAGTAGGGAGGGTGAGTGTAGACCCACAGCACTTAGGCCATATGTGATCTATTGTACATCCTCCCAATGAGTTGTCCTCCTAGGTCATCGTCCATCCTGTACTTTCCAGGAAGGTGGACAGGTCTCTGGGAGACATCTCCTTTATATCGGCAGGTGTAGGCCAAGACTCGCCGAACACATGCTCTCTTATTGACGATAACTCCGGACATTCGCATAGGACGTGCTTGACAGTTTCATCTTCCTGTTCACACATCCTGCACAGAGGTGTGTCCACTAGCCCCCTATTGTGGAGGTATTTTCTTAGATAACAGAAATCCTACTGTTAAGCGAAATTTTTCCTGGTCATCGCCAGATATTTCTTCGGCGCCAGCTGCCCAGGGTCGCCAAGGGTGATTCTGGCAAAGTTGCATTCTTTGGTTTCATCCCATCTCTTCAGGGATTGAGCATGCGTGTGACGTTTGGTTAGTTCCGCAATTGTCCAAGTCATCAGGCCGTAGGTGCCACTGGGTCCTAAAATTTTTAGTCCAGCCGCTTCCTTGGCTAAAGAGTCGGCAATGCGATTATAGGCAATATTTATGGATACAAATTACTGACTAATTGGACCCTTAGGATACCAATCCACATCTAAGAACGTCCAATGCATCCCAAAAAATTCAGGTGTGAGTTTTGGGCAGGGGGCGTCATTGGTCCATATTCCTTTGAGAACGAAGTTGGCCAGACCATCAACTGTCAACGGTGAGCACTATAGGTCTATGATTACCAATTTGTTTAGGCGTGAATTGGATATTCTGGACACCAACAACATGTGGCTTGAACAGGACGGCGCTAAGTGCCACACAGCTCATGTCATATTGAATATTATGCACGAGAAATTTGAGGGCATAGTCATGTGATGTGAATTGGTCATCGAGATCGTGCGATTTAATCCCGTTGGACGTTTTCTTGTGGGGTTTTCTCAAGTCGCAGGTGTATGCATGCGAATGAGCAATAACTACAGCGGTCCTCATAGCCAACATTACCCATGCCATCGGTCAAATTCAGCCTTATTTATGTGCCAGGTCATGGAAAATTATAATTTTCAGATGCGCTCTACGCAGAGAAGAGGTAACGGATATTTGAAAAAATTTTTATTCCACACATAAGGGCATCAATAGGTCTTTCAAAGGCATACGAATTTTCGATGATATCTCCTCACATTTTGTTTTATTTGACTTTACAGATAGGAAGCGTTTAATGGAAGACACTATATTACGCAACATCTTTTTGGGGTGAACTTTTCATTTTGACCTTCTTTCCAGTTTTCTCGATTCTTTATTGAGTAAGTTCTGTTTATTTTTCAGATTGTGGTGAGTTGAGAAACAAAAAAAACTGAAAGGAAAATTTTATGTGCAATGAGGAATAAAAAACCGATAAAATGTGTTTCCGTACCTTCCTTGTCATATAATCTGAAAGCATCTTTGAGCTCTCTTAGAATAGCTTCCGTATCTTCTTCCTCTTCAACCAAGAACCTAGCTGCCAAATGAGCAAATTCTTCGAAACTCATAACACCATTACCATCTGTATCTATTTCCTTGATGATTGCCTAAAATATGCGCGTTGTTAGTTTAACAATCTTTAGAATCCAAATTGAACGTGCAAATTGATAAGCAACATTTTCACTACGATACCTGTAATTCATCATTGGTCAACCTATGACCTAACATATCCAGAATTTGCCCGATCATGTCTACACTGATTTCACGTTTCTTTTCAATATCGAACGAATCAAAAATTTGCTTCAACACTGAAAAAGAGATTTTAAGTTATTCTAGAGAAGACTTTATCTTTCGAGTACTACAAATGAATGTGTAGAGGGTCAATTTGATTTCGAAATTCTGCTCAAAAAATTCAAAAGGTTATAAAGAAGTAGAAAATAAGAAGCGGGTTTCGTTTTTTTGCAAATATCTCGAAAAATATTGCAAACACTTAATATCCTAAATACAGAAAAAAATTACCGAACAATACGTTGCAGAGATTTTTACAATATGAACATTTTCAGGAAATCGATAAAAAAATTTATTCAAAACCGGTTTCAAAACAGGAGAATGGAAATGAACAATTTGAAGTATGGAAAAAAAAATTCAAATCAATCTATCAAACACATCTATCAACCACGTTTTTTACAAATAATCCGATTGTTAAATTTTTTCATTTCGGAACACTATTAAATTATTGATTTTTATTGATACGAATTGATATTGATATTTTTGGACTTCAGTCATTCAGTCATTCAAATAATGGTTTTCAAGAAAAAATCATTTTTAAAATTTTTCATTGCTCAAAGACGCATTTGTGAATTACCTACCTAATAGTGAATATAAACATCAAGAAACAATTGAAAAAATTATTATCTGCATTTTGTATTTGTTCTTCAAAAAATATTGTAAAGAAACATAAAAATATTTTTGAAATTAACTAATATCTAAATGATAAAAACATCTAGCAATATAATGAAGTTTTTGAAAATAACTTTTTCCTTAAATATCGTCATTTTTACCAATGATTCTCTTAATGAAAAAATTCAATATCTTGTGTCATTTGTATATAATAATTTTTCAAGCAATGAGAGTTAAGAAAATTTAAAAATCATACTCGTAGTGTTAGAAAATGGAACAATTGGAATATTAAAAAAAAGGTTTTCTGACACCTCACTTTGAATTTTTATATTTTACTTTAAATTATTCATACAAATGGCGAAAATAATAATACTTTGACTGTTTCATTTGTTCGTTAGAAAATATTTTGGAGAAACATAAAAATATTTTTGAAATTAACTGATATCTAAATAATAAAAACATCTTTGAGCCATGAAATGAAGTTTTTGAAAAAAACTTTTTCTCCCTTCAAATTATTTATACAAATGGCAAGAATAATAATACCCTAACTGTTTCAACGGGATCTGTTCTGAAGCCCTCCACAATAGACTCACAAAGTGAAAATAATGAGGTCTTTCTTTTGAATTTTCAAATTGTAAAAATTGCTTACCTATAAAAACCATAACTATAGTTATAGCAAAGTAGATCGTTCAAAATGTTAATATTTTTTGCTGTTAATCCAAAATTTCATTGAAGAATAAATTTATAGAATAATTGTAATTGCGAGTTGAATTCTGAAGGGTGACCTAATACTGGTACCAATACTGGAAACTTGACCCCAATTCGAAAAAGAGTTTTGAGTGAGAAACACACACGCCGAAGTGAGAACGAAATTAAAAAATCTACTGGAAATGAAGTACGTCCATCAATTACTATAGCAAATTACTCTAATTGCGATGTTGAAATTGAAGTTACCTCAAAAAGTATATAACTATTTTTGTAAAAATAACGTTAGTTCGAGTTTTCCATGTAATCGTTCTCAATCAATTGATTTAATTTTTTTATTGAAAAATGTTCTCCCAATTAATCTCTGATGAAATTTGAAATGAAAAAAATGGCTTAATCGTGGCAAAAATATGGTATGCAACATGTGCAAAAAGACTGTTGAATGCTGCATTCAACAGTATGATCCCTTGTCAGATGCGAATTTCAATAAAGAATTGAACATAATAAAATAAATAGCCCTCAACAATTATTACGACAGTAGTCTAATACATTCTCTATTATTAAAAAAGTTATACAGCCAAGCTTTGAAGGAAGTTCATGCAGTTATAGTACCTCAACCTACTTAGGCCAACCCACTGCGATGTTTTATATAAGTCAAACTGGAAGAACGAACAAAGCCTGCATAAAGGACCACAGAAATAGTTTCCAGAATTGAAAAATAAACTCCATATATTACACTTATTTAATCACAAAGGAACATGAGTTCACACTTAAAAATTTAAGCCCCTCCATTTCCAGAAGAAAGGTTCAAAACATAACCTGTTGGAGAGTATGAAAATAATCAAATTTAAAAACTTTCAATATCTTATGAACGATCAAACTGAACTGAATCATTTTCCATTATTGAATCTGTTCATTTCCAGGTGAGAAAAGTTAAGTGTACCTAATTACGGTACTTTCAGAAATTAAATTTATTCATATAGTTAATGAATTTATACCTGACCTTTGGTAATATGTTAGAGCAGGGGTCTCCAAACTTTGAAGCCTTCGGGCCATAATGATTTTTTCAGTTTGTTCCAAGGGCCAATTTCTGCCCTTAACTATATTTCTAGACTAGAATAGTCGCAAAGTGCGTGACCTAAGCAAACTTACGCTTTTTTTGCATTTCAATTATTATTGTGTATTGTGACACTTAACGACATCTAGTGGCGAGTAGTGGTACTATGTACTATCTTTTTCAGCTACCCGCTAGGTGGAATTAGGCGTAATTAAATATTTGGAATTACCGCGTTGGTTCGAGAAAGTTCTGGTTCTACCTAGTGTATTCCGATCACCTCGAGATGGCAGTAATAATTGCATATAAAAAGGCTGGCGGCGCAACTGCGAGTTAGTCTGCGTAGGAAAGGCGAAGGAAGCTAAACTGTCTATTGTGAAATAAAGTAACACTCGTCAATAAAAGTATTTGTTAGTATGGAAAAGAAGCGAAAAATCGACAGTGAATGCAGAACGTTCCAAAAAAATGGAACTTTCAGTATTTTGTGATTGAGTCCAGTAATAAGGCGCTATGTTTAATTTGTAATGAAACCATAGCTGTTCTCAATGATTATAACATTAAACGACACTATGAATCGAAACATCTTCAAAATTACTCCAAGTATACAGGAAGTTTGCGAAAGGAAAAATTTGAAGCTTTGAAACGCGGACTCAAATCGCAGCAATCTTTGTTTACCAAAGCGAATACTGAACAAGAGTCTGCAACTCGCGCCAGCTTTCGTGTGGCTCTTGAAATCGGAAAACGTGGCAAACCATTCACGGATGGAGAAATGATAACATGATGCTTGATTGCAGTAGCCGAAGAAATATGCCCCGAGAAGGTAAATTTATTTAAAAGTGTCAGTTTGTCAGCAAACACCGTGGCTCGGAGGGTGCAAGACATCGCAGAAAATATATCATCTCAACTGTCTGACAAAAATGGACATCATGAGTGGTTTTCTCTAGCATTGTGTCAGATACTGCTCAGGTGTTGATTTTTATTTTCGGAGTAGATAAAAGCTATGAAGTGTATGACCAACTTCTTGATATTGATAGTATTCACGGCACGACAACTGGGGCAGATATTTTTAAGGGAGTTGAAAACGCCATTAATAAAAAGAACCTTCGATGGAGAAATTTGAAATCTATAACAACTGATGGAGGCAAAAATATGTATGGTGAAAATAAAGGAGTGGTTGCACTTGTGTCAAAGGCTGTAGAAAATGATGGTGGTTCAAAACCATTAGTCTTACATTGTATTATTCATCAACAGTCCTTCTGCGGAAAATGTTTGGATATGTCTGAAGTTCTAAAACCAGTCATATCAGTTGTTAACTTCATCAAATCCACTGGGCTGAATCACCGACAATTCCGCGAGTTCATTCAACAGATTGGAGAGGATGATTTACCATATCATACTGCCGTAGGCTGGCTAAGTTGCGGAAAAGTCCTTAAGCACTTTTTTGAACTTCGAGCAGACATCGAAATTTTTTTAAATGAGAAGCAGCGCCCTTTCGCCGATTTATAAAATAGTGAATGGATGTGGAAGTTAGCCTTCTATGTCGATTTGACAAATCATATGAACGAACTGAATTTGAGATTGCAAGGAGACAATCAGCTTCTCCCTGATTTATACACCAATATCAAATCCTTCAGGCAGAAAATAATACTATTTCAATCGCAATTACGTAAAAAATGTTTCACACATTTTGAAACACGTGAAATATTCAGTCACACTACAGAGACTGAATTTCCCGACAATTTTGCAATCGAAACTTTGAGTGCTTTGAAGATGAATTTTGATACTCGTTTTTCAGACTTTGATGTCATTGCGAATGAAATTGAGCTTTTTCAAAATCCTTTCGATTCTGACATTGAAACCCTGGCTCCGAAAGTCCAAATGGAAATTATTGATTTACGGTGCAGTGATATGCTTAAGAACAAATATCAAAATTCATCTTTGTTGGAATTTTATAAGAGTCTTCCACTGGAACAATTTGATAATTTGCATAAATTTGCTCGTGTGTTGTTTTCTGTTTTTGGTACTACTTAGTTGTGTGAGAAAACGTTTTCCAAGATGAAGTACACAAAGAATGTTTACAGATCTCAGTTAACCGATGAGCATCTTTAATCTCTTTTGATAATTGGTACAAGTAAAATTGGTCCACAACTACAAAGTATTGTCGGTGAAAAATCACAATTACATAAATCTCATTAGTGTTTTTGTTTTACTGTGATTCATTTCAATTATTTGTTAGTTATTGATATGCTTAAACTCAGATATTTAAGTTTTCTTTGTCATCATTTCTGTCGTTAAGTTTTACCTTGCAAGTAAATAAAACCGAGTAATTATCATTCTGTGTTTTCTTCTTCAACTTATCAGAGCAATAGTAACAACCATTAGCTGTCGCGGGCCAGATTGATGACAGTAAATCATTGGCTGTCGCGGGCTGGATTGATGACACTGGCGGTCCGGATCTGGCCCGCGGGCCGTAGTTTGGAGACCCCTGTGTTAAAGTATAAAATAGTTGTAATTTAGAAGTAACTCATTATTTTACACTTGAGAAAGCTATTGTATAGCAAAACACGTGTCGAGGTTTTTTTAAAACCCTTTATAGTTGTAATCATGCAATAAACTGTATATTTATGAGTTCAAATATGGATTTTCATCAAGTATCGGTTAGTTATATTCTATTATGTGCAAAAAGCATTTTTTCACACTAGTAACATAAATTAATATTTTGCAAATGTCCATTTGTGCATCTGAAAAATAACTCTCATACAGGTTAAAGTTTACATTTTCACTCAATAGATAAAATTGATGTTTAAATTTAAACAACGTGAATTTGCGTCACGTACTCGATCCAGTCAGTATTATTACATTCCTCACACTTCATATGTAACTGTCAAATTTTACTTACTTTTCAGTTGTTCCTTGGAAATATCCAATTTCTTGAACTTGTCATAGTCGAGGTCATCTGTTTCCTGAAACAATTTGATATACTTTGTATTACTGAATACGCTTAATTTTGAGGTATTGACTGCAGATTCCCAAACCGCATATTCTTGGAAAATTTGATTATTTTCTAACATATGTTCAGCTTCATAAATTTCCTTCTTTAGTGTCAATATAAATTGGTTTTATTTAGTCCTGTGGCGGATTAACTCTTCGCGAGGCCCGCGGCTAAATTGAGCCGGTGTCTATTCAAGGGCAGAGAAAAACCAGAAATAAGTGAAAGCAAAAAAAGGAGTTCATACATTTTATTGAAAACTATATATAATGCAGACATTTTTAAAAATGAATCTATTATTTGGGAATATCTGAATAATAAAAACACCTAGCAAAAAAAATGAAGTTTTTGAAAAAAGATTTTTTTTTAAATCACCATTTTTACCAACGATTGAATTCCCATAATAAAAAAATTCAATATCTGGTGTCATTTGTACCTACATATAATTCTTCAAACCATGGGAGTTGAGAAAATTCAAAAATCCTACTCGTACAGTGTTAGAAAATGAAAGGAATATTAAAAAATTTTTTTTTGGCACTTCAATTTGAATTTTTTATATTTTACTTCAAATTATTTATACAAATGGCAAGAATAATAATACTGTTTCAACGGGATCTGTTCTGAAGCCCTCCACAATAGACTCACAAAGTGAAAATAATGAGGTCTTTCTTTTGAATTTTCAAATTGTAAAAATTGCTCACCTATTAAAATCATAACTATAGTCATAGCAAAGTAGATCGTGCAAAATGTTAGTATTTTTTGCTGTTGAGTGTAATTTTGCGTGAATCTTTATCATTTACTTAATTTTTCTTTGAATGTGCGGCTCCTCGAACTGTCTGAAGCTGCAGCAACAGCAACCCTACAGCAACCACCACTGTACTAGTCTACATCAATCTGTTTCGACTTTAGCTTTCAATTAGTTCAAATCTATTATTACCTGTCCGAAGGATCATTTATTATAATCTTCTTTCCGTTTATATTATCGTCATTGTGACAAAGCGGGTTGGTTGGCGGTGGTTGCAGGGTTTCATGATTGACTTTTCGTCTAGAACTGCGACAAAACCAAAGAGAACACGAACGAAGTGCATCAGTTGTCTCTACAGTAAATTTTACTAGGGCAGTATGTGAGAAGATTGATTTGACAGTGTTATTTCTGACCATGACAGTTAACACTCTTTGCATCCTTATGTTTTAGTAATTTATATAATTAATATCAAAAAAATGAACTTCATCATTTCAATTTATTTTTCTCCAACCCAGCTGTCATATTCTATGGGTACTATTGTCTTCCCCTATGAAGATGCAATTTATGGGATAGACATAATGCTCATAATGCCCGAATACCAAAGATAGAGAAGAATCTCCAAAGCGATCAACTGCAAAGTCAAACTTTGAGATTGTCCGCTGTCTTTCGCAGCAATGTCTTTCACCAGAGCTCAAAAACAAAGCACTGGACAGCGCTGTTTCAGCCCGTCGTAGGTATCATCAGTGTAGCTAGTCTTGACCACAGAAAATAGACTTTGGACTGGTACGCCAGGCGTTCCCACCTATTTCTGAAAACCGGTCCAATCAGCCGGTTGTCAGAAATGTTGACACCTTTGATGAGGCGCGTCTAACCGTTCAACATGTGATTTCGTTTGGAACTATCTTTGAATCTGGTTTATTCATTTCATTTTCCTGGACATTCACTGCCTTGTTTGGGCCTATAATTAAATTTTTGTTTCTGTTTAAAAATCTGTTTGAAATATGTTTTCCGTTAATCAGCCGGGCACCCATGCGAACGAAAACTCTCAGAAGTTGAGAAGGGCTAACGAGGTCTTACCTTTTAACGTGTGATTCCTAACACGGTTTTGAGTTGATCGTTGAGTGAAATTGAAATGGAAGACGATTACGCTCCGTGGTGAAATGAAGGAAATGTGTTGAAAACTAAGGCGATATAAATAGTAGGACACATCGCGTTCCTAAAAATGAGCCCAAGCTTGAATTTACGAATAAAACACCCTTCTTACGAAAACCTATTTATTCAGCAGGTTTATATCAAATATTATGTGGTTTGCCAGTAACATTTTCCTAAAGATATATTTTGGTATCAAAGAAAACTACAAGAGACCTGCTTCATTATTGTACAATCATTTGTTGGGTAGATTCAATATTCTCACTGAAGTTTCCAAATCAACATTGTATATGAAGTTTGAGTGAGTTCAATTGAATAAACGATCAGGAAATGCCTTTCAAAAGTTGTTATTTTGTTGAAAATATTACTCGAATGGACTTTCGAAGGCCAGCTTATAATAAATAGAAATGAATGAAATTCAAGAGAAAACTTGAAACATTTATTCATTTCTGATGAAATGAGTCATCAAATTAACAAATATATCCTAACAGAAACAACACAAAAATACCGACAAAAATAATATGTATACCTTTACTTACATATGGATCCTATCCACATTTGATCGATAAAATAGATTTATTCACTGTCGACATTAACACATTACAGGATTCTTATAAAAAATTTTTGAGATTCAAAAGCTTCTGAATACAGACACAATCACTGATTAGCGCATTGAATTTTGTCGCAAACAAGTATTCAGTTTCAGATTCAAATATATCGCTGTTATATGTGGCCTCAACCACTAATAATTTGATGCAGTTAACTGTTTTCAAAAGACAAGCCTGAAAAAGTAGGGGCGAGGTCGAAACAGCGTAGCGTAGTGGAGCTATGCTGAAGGAGAAATGCCTTTGCTTTGAAGGACACGTCTAAGTAATGAAAGTCGATGACATCTAAAGCGTCATATATGGATTGACAGCAGATTCAATGGCGTCTTAGACAGTTGAGTGAAACAATTTATCCGTATTTCAGCTTAGAATCACTAATGAGACAGGACTGTCTGGTGTCAGTTCACGAATGCTTTGTTTTTGGGTTCTGGTTTCAATTAGCAGTGATCGACCTAGTCTTCTTGGTAAATACCACCAATTTCAATTTGGAGGGGCTAATGTTAGAACTTCCTTCCTCGACATATATTGATATAGAACCAGAGTCCTCTGCATGCATCTTCTCACTCCTTTGGTATATTTGTTCTACACTAGGATGACTAAGTTATCTGCATAGCTTAGTACTTCATGTTTATCATGGTCCAGAATACTAGTAGACTTTCCTTTCATAAGTGGAGGCAAACTCCTTCTTGTATTATTCGACTTACTCAAATTTCTTATCTATGAGCATTGACAAAAATGACAGAAGAGTAAACTATTTTTTCAACTGATTTGAAGATGCGCTAAAAAAATTAGCAAAATTTGAGAAATTATTTGACAATAAGATCAAAAAATTCTGTGAGGATTATTATAGATAAATGTGTATGATTTGCACAAATTATGATTTCAATTGTCTTCGTAGTTTTAGGTTCAGAAACTTTTTTATGTATATATTGTCACCAAAAACTATTTATTATATGATTGTTATAAAAAGGATCCAAGTATAATTATATATTTTGTGTTTCATTTATTTGCAAGACCTTCTATCATGCTTCAGGAGATAACGTAATTTCAATTTAAAGTTTTCATGTTAGTTAAGGGAAAGTTGTTCCATTCTTGAGTAACTGAAATTGCAGGGATCGGCGAAAGTTAATATGTCTCTGACCGTCACGGATACTTACTTTTCAGCAAAACATTGAGTTGATGATTTGGATACTGGTGTGAAATCATTAAAACTGAATGCTTTTTTTTTAATAGAATTTTGCGACATACGACTGAATGCTTTGCAAGTAATTAGTAATAGATGGACAATAAATCGATTTGCATACACATTAAGTAGCAACTATTGAGTAATTTGTCACTCCTTAGGTTTCACATTAAGTTTCCACTTAGTTAGGTTGGGGTTGAGCTTGAAATTGTGTAAATTTTCGGAGATGTTAAAAAACTCAATAAAAATAGTTTGTAGAACCAAGATAATTCGAAAATACGTTGAAAATTCTTTAATTCTACTTATTTTTTCAAATTATCTAAGGTGGAACTGCTATATTGCTCTACTCTTGGAAAGTGGAGCGTACAGTAAAAGTGGATTAATTTTGTAAAAAAATAATGTTAATATGTGTAATATATTCCAAAAGTTTTGCAAAGTAACCCTATATACGATACGATAATTGTGGTCTTTTAATGAAATAATTTATATTATCCACTATAAACAAAACTCTCATGTTAGATTGATATCCATCATGAAGAATAGAATGACAGTCATTTTTTTATATCATGAAATGTTTCATTTTCATTTCTTCCTACGAAGAAACAGAAGAGGAAATTTTGGTAATGACTGATATTTATTTTAAAAAATATGTTACGTATGTTAGCTATTTTAACCTTGATCAGTAGATCAAACGCTCAAAATTTCTGCCCAAATTCAATATTAATAACCATTGTTAGAAAAGTGTCTCTCTTAGTAATAAATCACAATGGACGTACCAACATAGCAGCAAGTCGACTCATTTTTGTCTATTGGGTATCTGGAGAAAACTTCACTAACCTCTCGAGTGATTAATTTATAAATGAACAACACTGAGTGCTATCACGAATAAAATAGTAGGGAAGTGATTGACAAACAATATAATTGTTTGTATTGCAAACATCATTGACAATTCAGTGCCAAAGCTACGAAAATAAAAATCTGGGCAGGACTGATCGATTTTGTTTCATCATGAAACTCCATACATATAGAAGGTAGTAGTTTATTTATGTGCCAATTTGGTAATTCACATTTCAACAATGAAATCAATCATGATATAAATAAACAGAAATAGTTCCGCATTGAAACTTGAAGCTTGTTTATGAAATAAATAATATGAAGGTAAGGTTCAAATTTGAAAATTCAAAAACTAGTTGAAAGTAGGTACATATGATTATAGAAAATAAATGGTAGTAAATGGTAATTTCAAGAAATATTAAGGGATATATCGAGGTAGTTGAATCTATCAGATTATAGATGAATGGTCGGGGTTTATCATGTATGTAAAATATCAGTTTTTCACAAATTGCCATATGTTATTTTAGTTTTTCATGTTCACTGAGACTGAATTGAATGATCTGAGTCCCAAATATTCATATGACTGGATATGTAAACTTATGTCACTGTTTGGTATTATAAGAATGTATGTGTGTGTGTTTAGATTGTTTCTGCCAACGAATCGTCTGATATAAATACTGTTGTTATACAATTGCCAAATATCGAACATATTTTATTCTTGATATAAAAAGTTGTTTGAACACTTCGTTTCTTCTACAATAATATTTTCAGGAATCACTTTAATGGGTTGAAGGTGAGTTTCTGAAAGTTCCTCCCCTCCCCCTACACCTTATGTTATGTCGCTTCCAGCAAGTATATATTTTTTCTGTTTCAGGGTTAGAAGGTTCTTCAACTGTGAAAACTGATGTGGGACAAAATGTAACTTTTTTATCATGGAGGTTATGTACATATTGTTGATTTGTTGGTTAAGAGTAGTGAGAACAGAAGAAAAGAAATTTAGGCAGTTCGTATCTTCAAACTCCTTCCTCCCACTTATTCCTTTCATAGTTTAAACTTGATTTTCCTACAGCTCTTGAAAGAAAATAAGCCAGCAATATATCGAGAAGAGAATCGGTCTCAGAATTGTTCCCTGTTGTACGCCACACATCATTAATCGGTATTCGCTCATTGTATCGCTAAGTTTGACGCACTATTTCCTATCACTCGAATATGTTTGTTTTAAATAGCTCCAGACATTTTCCCATGATTCCTTTTTTTTCTAGAGAAAGGTGTCAAAGGCTTCAGCAAGGTCTATGAACATCACGGGAGATGATCTGTTATGATTCAAGTTTTCGTAGGTGTCCGAAGCTAGTTCTAGAATAGCATCCTGAGTTGTATTAGTTCTTATTATCTATGTAACCTAATGGAATAACGAATTTAGAATAAATTAACGTCAAAGCTAGTTGTTCGAATCATTGACGAATTGAACAACACAACTATTCCGTGTTTCAAAAACGTTCTGAGTAGGTTAAACTTAAAAACGTGAATAGTAGACACATTTCATTTTTTTCATTGGAAAATTTGAAATTTGATGAGTGACTAGTTCTTGAAGTCTGTAGAATGTCTACATTTATTACAGTCCTTACCATATTACTAGTTAAAGAGATAGATCAGATATTTTAGCATCATTCTAAGAAAATATGATATTTCTCTATTGTCCAAATTGAAAGGGGTATATTTTTAGGAAAGAAAGGTTTTGGCATTATACTTCTCTATCTTCATACAAAAGATGTGTAGACCATACCAAGAAGTAACTTTCAGACACAAACTGAAATAAAAAGTCCTGACAAAACAACTACTTTCATGTAAACATTGAATTACTACACGAGAGGAAACCTACTTTCGAAACAACTACTTGTATATCAAATCAAAAATCAAAATTTATTCAATTCAGATTAATATAAATTCCAGTTTCCATTCCAGCTTATTTTACAGAAGTATAAATTACATCTATGAAGGATCGTGGCTATCTAAGCCAAGCTTGTGGTACAGCCACGAATCCAATACATTTACAAACTAAGATAGTACTAAGATAGTACTAATTAGTTCTGGGAAGTCCTAAAAGGAAGACCAAAATGACGAGCAGTCTTTTAGCATAATAAGAGCATTAAATACGAAAGTAGATACAGAAACAACATCTTGTGACATTGTATTGAGTAATTGCAGTATGGTGAATTAGTCAACTATCCAGTATTGTTTCCGAACTGTGGTAGTTGTGATTGATAAATGTTTTCAATTTAGTATAACTTCTGTACGGCGGTAAATAATTGTAGGGTTTTGGTCCAATGCATGTAATAAATTTTTGATTGTGAGTCGGCATCGTGGAACCTTTGCAATTCAAATGTACTCGTAACACTGGCTGTCCATAATATACAACGGAAAGTATACAGTTTTCTGTATACTTTCCACTCTTCATATAATGCTTGAGTATTATATCATAGTCAATATGACCCTTCCAAGGAAGGCACTGAGCCACTAGGACCCCTAAGTATTTTATTGTATCACTTTTTTCTTTGAAGGGACTAGTGCAAGGGAGTCTATCGTTTTAGCAAGTGAGTTTATGGATTTTAATCCTCTGTAATAGTGGGATGATCCTTATTTGTTTGGGAGAATGCAATACATTCAGTTTTTTTGACTGACACTTAGCCACTGGAAAATTATATTCATACCTACCTCCGCCTATCTATGAGCTTCTTCCCATGTGTCACCGACAAAAGTTAATGCTAAATGATCCGCAAAAGAAGTTTTCAAAGTCAGAGAAAGCGTTTATTTGATGAACCACTTTTTCAATATTGTAATGCATCATGAAGCGGAATCTCGAAATCTCTCAAAATACGAATACATTTTTTCGTAGGATAATTTTTACTGTGGTTGAAGTTCATTCTAAGTAATTTTGTTTTTGAAAAAAAAAAGTTATTGTGCTGTGCTTTCATAAATTAAAAGGATATTTTGTTTGGCCCGACAGTCGGACGAATAATATATTGATTATTGAATTAACTGAACTTTCACGCGTTGAAGGTGTTACGATTTTTTTCAAATTAACTTCTTGCACTGAAGATTAATGTTGAATTGAGACTGGCCTGAACGAATTGTTCCTTTAAATGATTTGATTTATCGCCAGTCTTCAAGTATGCCCACTGACTATATGTGAAAAGTTTCCTCACATGAGGAATTGGAAAAATCTCGGGTATGCAGTAGGTTACCTCGTTCACAGGCAGATGGGGCGATGACAAACCTGTTGTTCGAGAAATGATACTCTGAAGAAATTCGATTTTCAATTATCGGAAATCCTCGACTTTATATTGATGATAGACACTACCTTGCAGTGGCTAGTGGCTAAACAACCTGAAACAGGTCTGCAAGTTTTTCCAATAATTGAAAATCTATTGCGGCAGTTGTATCGCAAACAGCTAATGCAGGAATAACTTCAGTGAAGAATCCTGCACTGACACCTGTCGGATATAAACGCCGATCGTGGTATTAGCCAGGGGAGTAGTTGTTTTCAGGTGGGTGTCGTCCATTAACCTACAGTGCAGGGAGTTGAGACTAGCCTGAACGAATTGTTCCTTTACGTGATTTAACTTTTGTAAACAATGAAACCTCACTTTGTTAAAGTCTTACGTGATAAAATGAAACGAATGACTTATTCGTAATGAGGGTTATCGAAACTATGAAAAAGTTGAAAACAGTAATAAGTATATTTGTCTGTGTGATCATTTTCTTTTGGGAACTTATTAACCACCATACACCATACCCACCTTTCTTCAATTGAGAAACTTCGTTGAAGTGAAAGTTTACTATTCAATTGCACTTATGTGCATGAGTTTTATTATTCCTGTAATTGAGTGATTTGGTTTGTTTGAGCAGTAGGATTTTTTTTATCCACTGATGGATACTGAGCGACTGAATGAAGTTGAGATTGGATGAAGTATTCTGATCCTATTTATCCTTGAACTCACCATCGAATACCCACCCCCCGATTAACTCAATATCTGAAAATTAATGAGAAGTATACTAATTATAACACTAGGAAAGGAATAAACTTTGCTCTGAAAACTAGTTTTATTAGTGATAACTGGCATACATGGTGATGATGAATATTGTGAATAAATGCTATTTGAAATTCTCGTTGATAGTTTTCAACCAATCATGACAGCTTTGAATTCTGAAAAAAAAATTGAAAACACGTTTCAACATTAGGTTTTATTCTTACCCTCCCAGTCCACTGTACCAGATCCGTCGGTATCTATTTCATCAACCATATTGTCAAGGTCATCTTCAGTCAGGTTGTCGTCCAACTCTCTTAGTATTTCCCTCAGAACTTCGATAGTGATGAATCCATTTCCTTGAAATGAAAAAACCATTCAGTAATTTCAAAGAACGAATCATAATGTATACAGATGGTCAACATAAAATTTGGCTAAAGTTTGGTGAATCTATGAAAAATTACTCATCTCAACAATAGTAATAAAAATAGTAATATAATTTTGTAAATGTTTTCATGACAAGTGAAATATATTTTGAAATCTAAAGAAATGAAATTTAAACGTTTGAATGTTCTATTTCAATTTCACCCCTTTTAAAAATCTGGCCCCTTCTGTATAGTAGGAGCGTATTTCAACAAAATGTTTATAGAAAAATGGCTATTCCACAAAAAATATCTTCCATGAAATGATTTCTGTTATCGTTATTCGAGCATTTTGTAAAACCCATCGTCTCAGTGAACGCTATAAATAATGCCTCCAAAAAACGACAGCAGTGTAAATCCTAAGCACATACTTCAGATTCACGACCAAGCTAACTTATAGCTTACTATCGTTGAGTTGAAATTTTACCTAGTAATTTTGAAAAATTAAAACAGTAGGTACTCATCCATCAATCTCACCTTCTCTATCATATAGTCTGAATGCGCCTTTCAGTTCGGTTTGGATCGCTTCTGTATCCTCCTCCTCTTCCTCTTCTTCGACAAGAAACCTTGCAGCCAAATTCGCGAATTCCTCAAAACTCACTTCTCCATTTCCATCCTCATCAATTTCGTCAATAATTTCCTAGTGAAAGAAATGATAAATTCGTAATAAATTGAGAACCGAAGGAGAATTTGTTCAATTTTTATCAAGCATCGTCAGTTCTATCAAATTTTTGATGAAGAATCCAATAAATATCGAACAAAAACAATTTTTTTCGATAAATAATGAATCTAACTGATTTATGGTTCTTTACCGTCATTATATTAATTATATTATCAACTTGTCTCCCTTCATTTTTGCTCAAGCATTTGAATGAATTTAAAAACCTAGATCAATCACAGTTTTCAATTAGATATTTACTGCATATTAATGTATAAAAGAATCTTAGAACACCCGAAGGTTAAGCTGGTTGGGCCCAGTCTCCAAAGCTTCAATTTATCCGGGAGGGCGCGTCAGAATCATTAACAAATGGCCACTTTCCACAAATTGGGTAAGTGATCATTGGGTCCGAAAATTATGTACTCCAGGCAGGGTGAGCCAAGAAAGACAGTATTGTGCATTTCTGCCTCAGTGCGGCAAGTTGGTATGATCTTGAGATTCGAGAGTAGGGAGGGCATTATTCTACCAAGAACTCCAATAATCAGAACAACCATCTCGACAGAGTAGTCTGAATAGTGACTACGGAGTTCGAAAAGAAAATATCGATATTTCATTCGTTATTTCTTCATTTCTGTACGAAATTAGTTTCACTTAGAGCTGAAAACCCTACGAAGAATATTGTCTTCTTCTGATGGTCAAAAAGGACTATATCAGACTTATCATCTTGTATGAATCTGAGGGTGAGGAATGAATAGTTTCAATAAGTTTGGCACTTCTCATTTTCCACAACGGATTCAATATTCTCCATACTATAGAGCAACACTGGTGTCTCGTAAATATCCTAAAAGTTCCATTGGCGGCAATGGATATAGGCTTAAATTATAAATGCTGGTTATGTCGACATTGAGTGCTTTAGGGCAGGTGCCTCGTGGCAGGTCCTGCAGCTGTTGTGAGGATTTTTTATACCCACCACACCAAAAACACTATCCTATCAGGCCATGATGAACCACTCAGTTACCGACTTCAGCCTACTCGACCTGGTGTTTTGATAAGCCAAGCCGACCAGGTGCTTTTATTTTAACCATTAAAATTATTGTTATAAAGATATTTTCTGAAGTAGCTATGCACAGATAGAGCTTGACGCAGAAAATAGTTTATTTCACCATAAAATCTATGATAAACAAAATTATTCCAATGAACTAAGCAGTCTAGATGAACTGGCCTATCATAAGGACGTGTTACTGAATTGGAGTTTAGATTAACTTCTGAAGCAGCTTATTAGGTTTCTTTGAAGGTAGTTGACAATGTTTTGTGGTGCATTTCATTAGTTCGGACTTCCATTGAAATCCTACGAAAGAATCTATAAAAAATTAAAAGGATTATCTGAAAAATAACAATTATATTAAGCGAAAAAACTGAAATTACAATGAAATAAAATACAAGCAACAATAAAAAAATTGAACTATTAACACGAGATGAAAATTAAATTTTTTTAACAAGAAATGTAAATTAAAAATTAAAAGCTTCCAATTCAAGTTACTTCACGACATTTCGATTGTTAGTGTTATCACCCCAAGACGATTGTGGATACCGCCTTCGTCGATTTCATCGAAACCCGAGAACAAATTTTTATGCCGACGGAATCGAATTGTGTTACGTTGGCAGAAGTGCACTGATGGCGCTTATTCTGATTAAATTGAATAAGTATTCACTGACATATTACAGTTCAAAGTTTACTTATGTAAAGGAACAAAACTTTTGAAACATTCTATACAACCCGTTTTCAGATATCACTCAGTATGAATAAAAATATATTTTGCTTCATTCACTCAACATAGTCAAATTCAGATACATATAGAAAAGTTGATTTATTATCCAAGAAATAGTATATTACGAATATTCAATTGTTATTTTATTCAATTTCAAGTAATTTCAATATTGAATGAATGATAAAATTGCTGCTGTTTTACGAATTTGCTTGAAACTAGGTGTGGCATAAAGGTTTATGAGTTTGGAACTACTTTTACTTCTCTATGAGCGAGGAACTTTCGAAAACTAAATCAATTTCTTTGTCATATCAAAAATTTCTAGTGAAGTACACTGGATTTCCCTTTCCGAGTCCAAGTTTGTGTTCTTGTTTTTCACTAAGAATCATATATTTTGAAACTGTCAGTTCAGTAATTAGGTTTCACGTTTGATTAAGTAAATTCTCAAGGCTAACTTGCGAATCCAAATAATTCAAACACAACTGTAAAATAATGACTTCGCTCATCTGTAATTGGCTTCGAAAGCTATGGTACCTACTTACCCAACAAAAATCCGTCAAAGAACTCACGCTTTTTGCATAGGTTAAAGACAAAAGTTTATTTCAACTTACTTCTAATTCTTCTTCCATTACGTGTGTTCCCAACATATCCATGATTGTGCCGATCATATCCGCATCGATGTATCCCTTTCTGTCCACGTCAAAAGCGTCGAAGGTTGACTTGAGCACTTGAAGTTGTCGAGATTGAAAGTAATAATTATACTTTTCTGTTAGATAATAACAGACGATATTACATATAAATAAGAACAAAATTTTGATGACTATGGAGAATTATTTCTGTCTGAATTATTGGTGTCTAATGAAAATACTTTTCTCAACTTTTTTCTGTCTCCTGACACCGAGAAAAATTTCTGTAGTTTTGGTATAAGAGAAGTGTTTTCATTTGATCGATTTTACGCCAGAGATTATAATTTTACCTATCAAATACTAGACATTTTTTTAAATTCTGCCTGAAGGTAAATAAATACTCGCAACATCAATACAACAAGTACTTACTCCGTATTTGATCCTTCTCTAGGTCTTCCTGAAATAAATTAAGAATTGTCGTTGTATAAATCATTATCGATCACTTTTAAATGGGATTGCAGGTGAAAAAATGCAGCTGCAAAACTATAATCTATTGCTCGTAATAGATGAACGATGTTACTTAAAATTGTTCGATTTTTGCTATCAACTATTGACTTCATCTATGTGCAACATTCATTAGTCTACTCGTTTACTTTAATCTGTACAATTTCAAAGTGAATCATTACATTTGTAATCGATTGAAACAACGTGTCATTATTTCTGCTGACACTACATTTTCATCGAGGGCTTCGTTTTGATTGAGGCCGACATTATTTCACTTTCATATAAAGCTTTAAGTTACTTAATCAGCAACTCCACCTAAACTGAAGTAAATACTACTGATAAATTAGATGCCTCGACTTTGAGTAGGTACCTTGCTGTGGAGAACTTTCTTCCAAATACATCATAAATAGTATTTAATACTACCAAAGCACAGTAAAAACTTCCTTGGTGTAGTAGAGTGTGAAGGAGTTCCACAAAGCATTGTGCATTTCTGCCTCAGTGCGGCAAGTTGGTATGATCTTGAGATTCGAGAGTAGGGAGGGCATTATTCTACCAAGAACTCCAATAATCAGAATATACATCATAAATAGTATTTAATACTACCAAAGCACAGTAAAAACTTCCTTGGCGTAGTAGAGTGTGAAGGAGTTCCACAAAGCTTTGATTTAGGGTCTCTATTGTTTGAAATGTTCATAATGTTCTTCCATCAGTGCTGAATTATTCATATGATTACCTTTTTGGTGACGATTTGAGGGTTTTCAAATAAAACGGTTTGGGACTGAATGTTCTTACAGAAATATTTAAACAATATTGTGAAATGGAGCCATGATAACAAACTTCTATTCAACATAAATACATGTCGTGTTCTAACTATGAATAAAATAAAACATTCAATTATTTTTTATTACCCAATGGATAGGAAGTATTAGAGTGTGTAGACGAAGTTAAAGATTTGGGGGTAACTTTTCATTTTACTTTTTTCTTTGCCAACCATATCCATAATATTATGAAATCTGATAATGGGATTTCTGGATATATCATCAGAGAAAGTAGGCATTTTGCCAGTATAAAAACTATTGAATTACTTTATTTTATCTTTATCTTATATCTTATAACTAGATATTCGTTAGGTTAAAAAGAGAGTTGCTCCGAATTCTTGGGGTTCTTAACGTTTTCATAAATCTCGAGTGAAACTTTATATGTTGAAGGTGACATAATTCCAAGTTGAATAGAAAGAGGACGACAGTGATCTTTGTAATCTGTTCCTGGCTTTTATTCTTATGGCCTTTTTCTGTCAGCTTATAATACTAATAGGGTTACCTGAATTTCCCCAAATCAGAATACCATATGACATAACTGAGTGAAATAATCCATAGTAGGCTGTTTTGAGCGTCTTCAAGCTGACCGCATTATTCAATCATCTCAGCACAAACAAGATATTGGAAAGTTTGCTAGTAACAGCTTTGATATGACCAGACCAGCTCAATCAATAACGAATTCTAAAAAAATAATCTTTTTGTTGGATGCATATTTAGATTGTAAGATATAATTGAATTTTGAGTTTTATTTTCATTCAGAGTCAGATTATTAGCAGCAAACCATTTACATGGTAATATTTCGCTATCTCGCGTCATTAGTTGTAAGCTGGTTAAGTCTTTTCTAGAACATAATAGAGTCGTATCATCTGCAAACAAAGTACATCTTGCTGGTTTTATGAAACTGCATAGATCATTGATATAGATCAAAAGAATAGTGGGCCTAAAATAGAGCCCTGCGTGACGCCATGCTTCCTTTCTTTGAGATCTGACTACATGTTGTTCACTTCAACATATTGGAACCTATTTGTGAGATGAGACTGGGCGAACTTGAGAACTATGCCCCCTGCACCATAGTAACTAATTTTTTTCAATCAATATAGTATGCAATACACAGTCAAAAGCCTATGTCAGGTTATTTCATAAAGCGTTAAAGAAGAGTGCTTTTCCTATTCAACTCCTTCCACTATGTTGGAAATTAAATTGTAAGCTGCGTGAGTAGTAGACCTATTTCTTCGAAAGCCATATTGTGTGGAATATTCCTAAAATTCCAGTCAATAGGAAGATTCCTCTTGAAAATGATCACTTGGTGATCGGAACACGTGTCGATGTGTTAAAAATAACGATTTGGTGTTGGGAAAAAGTTCCAGTAATATTCATTACTGCACCAAAGGTTCCAAACAGTGCATCATACGTTTGGAAATATTACTGGAACTTAAAATATACTGATCGTTCGCTTCCTTTTTTCGTTTTTGTAACTGGTGCTTATAATCTTTCTTCAGTGCCCTGAATGTCGACATATAGTATGGATTTCAAGTCATAACTGCTGCGTTTTTTACAGCCATGAGATTGATTCTCATTTCTTCAAGTGCATCTCAAACCAAGTTTATTTATTGTGTGTATACGTTACTTCAGTAGAATGGATTTCATAAGAATGTTGATGAGGATTTCTGAAGAACGACTCACACCAAACTGTTCGGTATTCAGATAATCCCAATTCACCCCAAGTGAATGATTTTTGTAATTCCTTAGACCGTTTTTGGTAACAGAAAATATGTAACTTTTCTCTGTGAAAATGTCCAGAGCCCCATTAGTGGTAGCAAACTTCCCTTTATGGTCAGAGAGACAGGGGTCAAGAACACCAGTGTTATATGAATTTTCAGGTAGTTTTGATATTATATTATCTATCCATGTACATGAATGAGCAGTTACTCCAGTGGAGCCATTGATGATTCTTTGAAGGCCGTATGAATCTAGCAAGCATTTAAATTGAAAATATGAAGTTGACTCAGACATGAAATCTATATTAAAATCTCCCAGTGAAAATATATCATATATTTAGTGGCAGAAGAAATAATATGATACAATAGAGAGAAAAAAATACAAAATTTTCAATAGGATGTCAATAGGAAGATTCCTCTTGAAGATGATCACATGGTGATCGAAAAACGTGTCGGGGTGTAAAAAAAAAGATTTGGTGTTGGGAAATACCTCCAGTAATATTCAATTAGGTCACATATGTTCAATAAAGCTGTAGCACAGCTTTAGTTTAATATGAAACCAGATTGCATAAAGAAAGTACATTATTATTTTGGAGGTGTCTTCTCAATTGTTGAGCAATAGCGTTCTCCACAATGTTAGAAAGAAGTGGAAGCAGACTTATAGGATGCAAGTCTTTAAATTCCATAGCTTCCCTTATGTTGGGTATTGGACAGACTGCTTCTACATACTTGGGAAAATTTTCTTCTCTTAGCAACAGTTTATAATATGTAAAATAACGGGTAATATAGATGGACAGCAAAGGTTCCAAAGAAATTTATCGGGATCATCTATTCCTTTTGATCTGCTTCTGATTTGTGACATGAAGATTAACAATTCATTCTCGGTAATCAATGTCAATTCTAGAAGTGATGTGTTCATGTTTTTAGGATTACAACAATTGAAGAGAAGATTAAATATAGTTTTTTTAATGTGAATATTGAGTTTTTTTAGTTTTAACCATGCATCTTTCAAGTTATTATGATTACTATTAGGAGCGAAGTATTCGAGATTAGCCCTCGATAGAAGATAGAAGTTTCTAAGAGTTTTGTAATAATTCCAATCTTCAGCTTTACCGGGTTTTCTTCATTTATTTCTTTCTCCAATTTTCATCAAAAGCTTCACCTTGTCTGTTATCCATGGTATATTAGGTTTGGTCAAATTTTTTGTGACATATGGTGCAAGATTATTCAACAACTTATTTGTTGAATGAACGAAGTTGAAATTTTTAAAATTACGGAAATTTCGTGTAACAAGGTGGTGTTTCACAATGGTTTCAGGAGCATGACAATAAACTAGAAAATGATCTGAAACATCCATTATGCCACAATCACACCAATTGAAATTAACGTGAACGATAATGTNAATTTTAAAATTACGGAAAGTTCGCGTAACAAGGTGGTGTTCCATAATGTAGTCCAAATTGTATTAGTTACATTAGTTTCTATACTTGATAATGGGATAAAACCCAAAACAGGTCGTAAATATAAAATGACTATATGGTAGAAATTGAACAAAACTGTTTTCATTCAGTTCATTGAACAGATAGTTTCATTTCAGTATTGAATCTAATTTCATAAACGAAATAGGAATATGAGTATATTGAATAAATTAATCTGTTATTTCCTTTCATTCAGCCGTATTATAACTTAGGATTTTGGGAAATCTCTACTTATTTTTTGAGTATACATATACTATAATTGCCTGTTCGCAATGGATTTCTATTGATTTTCAAATACGGAATAGATGTGAATAAATTGAAAACACGCCTGTCGAAAGTCAGACAACTGAACGGCTTCCGACTATTGGACAATTCCCGATTGATTACTTTGCTGAGTTGTTCGACTACCAACAAAAACATCTATTCATTTCCTCATGATTTCTAATTATGATCAACAAACCAAACAAACCAAAACCTCATTGTTTTTTACCGAGAAGCAATCTTAGGAACTATTTGAGATTTATAGGAGCGAAGAGAAAATGGGAAATTTTCGTTCTGAGTCAAAATAATGCACGTTTACGCCTAACCTGCCTAACTATAGTTTATTACTTTCAAATTATACGTTGTTCCGAATTTGGAAAGCCCTCTTCAACACTTTGCACATTTTCGCGTTCTACTATTTCTGATATGACTCACTACTCACCATATTGCCTTCACTTTCATCACGACATGCAATTACAGGCCATCGTCGAAGAATATATCTTTTCTTAGCCACAAGCCAAGGAGGGGATGGTCGAATGAAAACAACTATATCGCATTTTTTATGTTTTTATTTAGGAACGAGACAAGCATTCGATTGTTCGAATTGTTTGGGTACAGTCACCCGTGTAAGTCACAGAGTTGTGAGGCGAGTGAACTATTACACGATGTCTTTTCTTTCGCTGTTGAGCTTTCTTGGAGGCGGTATGCCTTAATCGTCCCCTCCAGTCATAACTTCCATGAACTCTGCAAAATATTTTATTTGAACAGACTGTTATGTTATCAACTTCTATGCTTTAACTTAACTTCCTGACTATCTGATTGTCATATGTCATATTTTGGATGATAATGTAATTCAATAACTACACCACAATAATTCATCTGAAGAATATACTTTGGAAATGTGATGACATTTTTTATCTTAAGTAATGATGAAGAAGAAATACCCTCACATGGCGAAAGGAATACAGATTAGTACCAGAAAAAAATATATAACTATCCCGAAAAACGGCATGTAAGGAAGATGTCTGAATTTAATTACATTAAACATATCAAGTTTTATCATTTGTTTGAAAGTGGTTGACAATGTTTCGTGGTGTATTTCATCAGTTCGGACTTCCATTGTCTACTATGATATAAAATGATGAAAAATCCCTGAAATAATCTGTAAATGGGATCCAATGGGATTGCCAATTTCACCGGTTATAGCCAATATATATATGGAGTGGTTTGAAACTCTGGCCATTGAAGAAGCCCACTAAAAGCTCCGAATTTGGTTAAGATACGTTGACGACATCTTCATAATATGGAACCATAGGAATGCAGAACTAGACACTGTCCTGAAGCACATCAACAACGTAAGTCCTTACATCACTTTCACAATGGAGAAGGAAGTCCACAACGAATTGCCATTCTTAGACGTATTGATGAAGAAGACAGACTTTAAATGAGAAACATTTGTATATCGAAAACCCACTATAACGGGACAGTATCTGAACCAGGAATCCAACCACCATCAATCGACTGAGAGAGGAATCATCAAATCTCTACAAGACCGTGCTTTCGGACTCTGTAATACAACGGAAGGTCTCGAAAAGAAACTAGGCATCATCAAAAATGACGTTCAACGGAATGGTTACCCCGAAGTGATGATGAAACAGGCTTCAGCAAGAAGACAGCAAGAGCTTTACAAGAAAAAGAAGCCGCCAAAACCAGTACTTGTACTTCCCTACATCAGAAGATTATCGGAAAGGATAAGACGGATTGGGTCCAAGTATAACATCAGAACCTGCTTTAGATCTGGAAACACTATACGTAGCAGTCTCACGTAAACCAGGCCACCAAACGCTGACTGCGATTCCAAGAATTGCATTCAGCGGATACCCTGCGAGTGCGGACAGTCATACATCGGTGAAACTAAGGGCCATTGAAAGTTCGCATTGCCGAGCACAAGAAAACACACACAGTGAGGAGAAACCAGCAAATCCGGAATAGCAGAGCATGTTTGGACTCATCAACCTAACATCAAGTTCTCCCAAGCTGAGATCATCCATAAGGAGAAACACTGGTT